ACCAGTCTTAAGTGTGTGTTATTGGTTTCCTTTATTCTGTATTTTCTGTGCCAATTTGGCAATTCTCCGATATCACGCTGCATTCAAGGAAATGGTGCATTATTTTGATATAGGTACAACTACAACGTACAACAATCCTTACTAATATTATAAATCGGAAAGTGAGTTTGTTTGTTTGTTCCGCTTTCACGCCGTAACGACTAAACCGATTGCTTTGAATTTTTGCAGACGTAAAGTTAGAAGTCCGGATTAAATAATAGGGTACTTTTTATCCCGGAAAAATTTGATATTCCCGAGGGAAAACAAAAGTATTGGTATAGATGGCGCTGTATGTATTAGTATATGTCACATAGGCTACTTTTTATCCTTTTGTGACGCGAGCGAAGCCGCGGGTAAAAGCTAGTAAAATATAAATTAAAGAATGCAATAATTAAAATTGCATACAGTATAATCGTAAAATAATAAAGTGCGATTTAACGGAAATACTGCAACACTATTTCGAAAAAGTTAAGAAATAAGATACAGAACTTCCAAACGCTCTACTTGTTCCATGAGAATAATGTCATATTAAAAAATGTAGGGTGGCCCCACAAACAAAATTTCAAGGACAACATTTCTACTGACTGTACCTTTAATGAACGTTATCAAAAAATAATGTTAAATGAAAACAAAAGAAGTATGCCACGGTCGATACGCGAAATAAAAGCTACATGACATTTTCGAAAATAGCACTGCGCCTACGCTAGTGTCGTAAGACGGTATTTGTTGTAGACATGTGTAAATTGTCAATGAAACTTGTACTAGTCCCATGCTCTGCTCGAAGGACTAGTACGTATGCTTAATACTTTTTTTGAATTCGTAATATTTTTTTTTTTCATACACACTTGATCATATATACATAATAGTATTTATGCGCAGAGGATCTAATAGATAATTTATCATGGGCTGTAAATGAGAATATTATATGCATAATCAAGGTTTACTTGCATACGTCTTAAATATTATTAAGTGGACTTAACTAACTAAATTATCGCAATTTTAATCCTATTCCTAAATGAATGACTCAGAACTGCAACTGCCTGATGACTTGACGTAAGATATCAGAAATCAAGTTTCTCAACATTTTCGGTCTTGAATATATAATCTAAAATGACGCCGGTTTTTCCCCGAAGCTTTAGACATAGGTCTTAAAGATATTTATTTATTATCTACGTTATTAGTCGCATTAAAAGAGGGAAATCCTAAGCTTAACCCATGGCTTAAATTACGAAACTTAATCTTGGTAGAATAAATTACTTTCATAAATAGCGTCTTCAACTATTATATTGATATTGATCGCCGCAATCAATTCCCTAACCAGTAAAGCAGTGACCACTAAACTAAAAAGATTAAAACCAAACATACCCATTTTGAAGACATTTTGGTATAGGTAGACTTCATATCCGGGTTCGTCAGCTAGAATTTACAGCTTTCTGACCCACTTGATACGGTCCTCTTAAAAATAGTGAACTGCTTGCTCTTCGACATCGATACAAGATAATTTCATTTCTAAGAAAATCAATTGTGGTTCAAATAATAAGTTTGGTCGAGCGTAAATTGAATAAAAAGGTCGTAATTGTGCTATCATTAAGGTACCATGAAACAGACATTGGATTCCACGATGCGAATCTTGGAATAAGTTGATAATATCCTTTCAACCGCTGTCAGAAAAACCACGATACTATGTAATTTGCAACACTAAGTTTATGGTCATCTTTTTTTCCTTTAACTACGATCACAGACACGATTTTTCATGCAGCGACTCGTGACGAACGATGTAATAGCAGTTTCTAATCTACTAGCGTCATAGATCGCATCTTCAGACTACACAAGGTTTTATCTTTTTAAAATCATTTTTCATAGTTCCTGGAAACACCTATGTCTAATGACATAAGCAGTGAGACATATTGAATCAATTAACTTGTCAGATCGCATAGAAATTACTTGATTAATGGAGATTACGAGCAGTTTCAAAGAGGCTCTTTGGAAAGTTAAAACGAAAGTAAGTGACGTTCGAACCTCAAGTTGTACGCAACGTAATTATCTCAATGCGTTCGTAGAAGGACTACAGTCAAGCTACCTACATAACCATTTGCAAAAAAAAATACTTTGAACGATAAATTTGCGAAACTGATAAATTGAGTATACCTACCTACCGGTTATTAACAATTACATGTACTGTATTAGAAAAGAATAAAGTCTGTCAATCAATTGTCAATCCCTAAAAACGCTTTTAATACGCTAGTAACTACATAATTTTCAAATAAACCTCAATTAGGTATGTCAAAGATCATTCATGCTTCGCAGCATATAATCCCCGAAGAGACGGCAGTGGTGTACCGTTAGCCACTTCACATGACCACTGCAATTACTCAGTAGCCATTAGCATGCACTTTGCTTACCGTTGAACACACATAATCGTAGCTCATCGTTTGACTGTGAAGGCTTTATGCATTGGCTTTATGACTAAGACCTTACCGACAGTATTTGATTTTATAACTAAATAATATCAACAATCTCACATCTCGATGCTTTATATAAATAGTTGTTTTTGTTTTTCTTATAATTAATTTTTATCTTAAGTTGTATATATTTAATTTAGTAATATTTAGTTTTAATTTTATTTAAGTAATAGTTACTTTTAATTTAAGTTTTTTATTTGAATAAATGCTATTACTGAATTCAAAGTGTTATTGAAAACAAAAATTAAATAGGAAAAAAATTTAAACAATTCGAAATAAAGGCATGTTCGCAAAGTCATGGTCACCCTAGCCAAAGTTTGACGGTAGCTGCGCTAAAGTTACTAACATTATGAGGATCTTAACCTGGGTGCTAATTTGAAGGCTAAATAAGACGTACTTCCTAGTTTCAGCCATGTTTATTATATTCAAGCTCTTCTAAAATGGTGTGCCTAGTGATTGCGCAAAAAGAAAATACTGGTAACTACTCCATTTTTGTCCATGCATGACCATCAAAATCGTTTTCTTCTTCAACCCAAATCAGACCGCTTGCTAAGATCACTTCTTTATGGCATGCGAATATTAGTATAACCACAATTAACCACATTATAATTTCCTGTTCTAGGACACACTGATTAACATTTGACAGCTTCCAATTACAAAAAAACAACCGTTATTAGATTGACGCCATTAAATTAGCGGAGGCGACGACGCTTCACTATTTTTTTTTTCAATTAATTGTTACACTTGCCAAATCATGCATTACTGGCACACATTAAATTGAAACTGGGAGTCTTTTGATCGTTTAACAAGGCCAGTAAATTAGTTCTATTAGAAATTAAAAACATAAATGTCATCTTCAGCTGTCAAAAGTCTGATTAGCTGTGAGACTCGATGTTCAATTTACTTTTTTTAGTTTTGGTTTTATGTAGCGTAGCGGTAGATTAAGTAATCATTATCGTTCGGTATCAATCCTTACTAATCCTTACTAATATTATAAATCCGAAACTGAGTTTGTTTGTTTGTTCCGCTTTCACGCCGTAACTACTAAACCGATTGCTTTGAAATTTTGCAGACGTAAAGTTAGAAGTCCGGATTAAATAATAGGGTACTTTTTATCCCGGGAAAAATTGATATTCCCGAGGGAAAACAAAAGAATTGGTATAGATGGCGCTATGTGTATTGGTATATGTCACATAGGCTACTTTTTATCCTTTTGTGACGCGAGCGAAGCTGCGGTTAAAAGCTAGGAAGTTAATAACTAAACTGATGCTAAAATCTTTGGATGAAATCTCAATGTCAAAAATCGATTACAATTCAAAAATTTCGGACGTATATTTAAAAATAACATTTAAAAATTTACACAGGTGCTGTAACCGTGGTCTCCCAAGGCGCTTAAACTATGTAGACGGTTTAAGAATGCCTTAGAATGCCAACATGTAAGTACCTACTTCTGTATAGTGCAAATAATTATGTTGGTATTGCCAAAGTAGGTATTCAATATCCGCAATTTTTAGCCTGTCTATGACTTGTCCCCATTTTTTTACAGAGTAAATAACACGTTATGTCTCTATCATTGACATAACATAATATTACGGCCACATCTTCAGATTTCAAGTTTGTTGTTGAATTTACGACATTATTAAATCAATAACTTAAAAATAAAAAGTATATTGTTTTTCTAGAGTTTCCATGACATGTATTTTTATTACTTTTACATTTGAATCGTCTATTACATATTAATGTTGCATTAATGTTATTCTACATAATTGTGGATCGCATTTCTGCAAGGTTACGTAAATTTTTCTATAAATAGGACAGCTTATAATAAGAGTTTAATTCACAATGCCGACTAAGATATTCTATTTTTGTGGCTGCTATTTTGTCTTTAAACAATATAAATTACGTAGGTAAGTACATTAAATTCCGATTGCAAAACTTTAATTATCGATTCGTTACAGTTAGGGAATGCAAATCAACAATCTCTATCGACTAACTGTTGTAAAGTGTAAAGAAGTCTAGACAATACAACAGACGTACACTAAATAAGTAGTAATTACATAAAACTCAAGGAGGTAAGGAAAACCGGAAATACGATAATGGATTGACATAAGACAATTTTCGCGCGTTTATTTTTAAAATGGCGCTGGCTCTGCGCCAAATCCGCAGATCGGAGACTGAGACACGTCACAGACATCGACGTAAATGTTGCCAACTTAAATGCTCTCTTGTAATAAAATAGTTTGAAGTTGGAACATTTCGAATAATCGCCTACGCAACTGCCAACAGCCAGAGAAATTGTAAACTAGGTACCATACTGATTATTCATCCCTTGGACAATAGAAAACTAATAACTGCACATAAAACAGCAAATACAGTATAAAACATAGACACAAAAGAAAAATACTGATTCTCAGAATGTTTGCATTAAAAAAAACAAAACTACCTACTTAAGTACGAAGGTATTGGAAGTGTTAGGTCACGCTAAAGCGTCATTCTTACCTGTAAAGTTTCTCGGAAATGACTTCTCTGTTTTGGCCATGGTGCGCGCCTTTGGAATGACTGTAGGATCTGAAAAAAAATAAAGGGTTAATTTAAAGACGGTACCATGATAGACACTTTAATACAATTTTCTTGGACAACACAAAAACGTTTCAGTAGAAGAACATTTCATTCATTTTTTATTTATTAAAGTGTCAAGTCAATATTGAACGCTTGAATTGCAAATATTCTATTAATAACTGCCACAGTAACCTCAATGCAAACATCGCTAAATTCCATTTGACAATTTATTTTGTGAGTCTATCATAACTGACAGGCCTGCAATTTAATTAGCAAACAGAATAATATCCGCTACGTCTGTGAAGACGTTTTTAGCCGACATCTTTTATGGTTCAATCGGTCGTTTACACTTCATTGCAATAGACATGTCGGCAAGTGAGGCGAGAAAGTTAAATAAACGATATCTAATTTGCAATAACATAGTATCAGGTTTTACTGTGCGGCATCGGCCGTTCAGTATTTACACACACGTTTTTTTAAACATTCAATACTCTTGGGTCAGTCGACACGATATGCGTTAATACTGCTAATGAACGGGTGACGTTGCAACTCGATGGAAAGTGTCGCACTACAAGAGAGATACCGGCCCCAGAATTGTCAATATACTGTAACAAGTTTTTACCATGACACATTGACACATATTATTAGCAAATAATTACGAATATTCTCTCTAATTGTTTTACAATACACGTTAAACAATTTATGCAAGACGAATTCGTTATATTTAGTTTCCAAGACTACAGATTAAAAACGAACGACATGGTAATAAAATCTAAATTAAATGACTACGAAACTTAATTAAAGATTCATGATGGCACATGGAAGGATATTCATCTTTATACACGTTGCATGTTAAAGTTTCCTCTAGATAGTTATGTAAATTGCGAAGCCGGTGTCATTGAGTCACCAGTGGTAGACAACTGTAAGTTGTTAACCGGCTTTAAAGGAATTACAGAATTGACATGACATAAACGCAATACTTAGGGATACAAAGGGTGTTTACTGTACAATATATAAAATTGATGGCCTGAAAGTCAAATAATATAATTTAAGTACCAAATTGAACATGTTACATACATGTAATAAAATATACCGTTAAACTTTAAGTTAGCGACAATCGCCTGGCGCCGGCCTATAGCGGAGAGTGCAGACGTCCTGTATGTCTGATTGGCGAAAACCGAAGTTTAATTACCATTGGCTTGGCCAACTGACATATCATATTGATGACCACCATTCAATTTTTTCTTTTTTTTTCTTTGCAGCTTAAAATTACACGAGGAACAAAGATTGTTCAGGATTAACTCGACAGGGTTGTTGAACTGAATTTAGTTAAGCAGTGTAATAAACAAATTTCTAAGGGTTTGTGTTTTATTGCTGTTGGTTTTGCACTAACTGACTTGTGATAAAGCAGTACTTCATTTTATTGCATTTCTATGTAACATTATCTCTGGTTTAGTGTCAAGGATTTTAAACTATAGATCCTTTTCCTGCTGTTCAGAGTAGAACTAGGTATTATACCTACTTAATTGATTGCTGCATGGGAAATTACGGAAGACCAATTCATTGATAATTTCCTACACTTTTTGCCAATTTTCATTATAGGCATCTATGTAGGTAATTTGGCAAGCTTAGTGTCATTAACCCCGCCGAAATAACCATATCATCGAACCAGAAAATTGTTTAGTGAAAGGTCATGGAACTTACCATGAAATCATGGCTAGACTAATTTATCATGTCCCGTTTTTGCTACCCTGGAAGTTGGAACGTAATAACTAACGACTGAAACTAACGCGAAACTAATTCGCGCAAATCTATTTTGAAACGTTCAAGGTCGAGCCCATCGTGTTTATAAGATTATCATCTTACAATTTAAAATCGACTTAGTTTATACAACTCGATTAAACAATTAGCATTATCATGACCACGTGTTTAGATTAACTCGTGATTAGATGTTTAGTACATTCATTTAAACTAAAAGGTTTATAGATAAAACTGTCAAAATGCACCCTAAATGCGCAATAGTACATTTTATCAATCAATCAGACAAATATCTTTTAAAAGAAGACCGCGACAGCTAACGTGCATTTTTTGCAAACCGCTTGTCTATTGTCAAAGCGCGATCGCTAGAAAAAGTAAACAAATTGCTTCTTATCTATGGCAAACCACTTCCTCATGTCCTTCCGTTATGTTGTCTTTCCGCGCTTATATCGTTTGATTTAAGAACACGGCATTGAAGGAACACTGCGCAGGCAATACAGCGTTTCGATTTTGATATTGACTAAGTACCTATGTACGCATGTGAAGGTCAAAAAGCTGCAAGTATTATTTAGTTTTCTTAGTAAACTGCTATTTGCATAAATAAGTCACGATGTATTGCGTGCGGAATTAAAAGTAGCAGGTACTACCTACCGGTAGGGTGTAGCCATGTACTAGGTCTTAAAGTATGTAGATATAAGTATATAGCTATCTAAGCAAAAAATCTTTATATAAAAAGATGCAACAAGCATCTATGTCGAGATGGTTCTCTGTTACTGTACTGTTACACATATCCAGTAGAAACCAAATTAATTAGAGGTAGATAGGTACCTACACATCCTAAGACCACCACAGAGGATGGCGTTTTTCGAAGACTCAGTTTTTTTACGTTTTCACCTACCTAATATTATAATTATAATATTTACTATGTAGCATGTTTCGTAAAAAATAGCACGTGGTTAACAAAATCAATGTATAAATGGTAAAATAGTTTCCAACAATACCTGAATGAAAAAGGCTAATGCTAATCGGATGCAAATATAATAAATTGTTACCTGTCGGCTGTCACTTACCCGTATAGCTTCCTAGAATACATTAGAGTGGAAACATTACCTACAATGTTATTCTTTAGTCTTTAGTAACAGATATTACAAAAGATAAACTACTGAATAGTTACTTTGTCATTGACAATTTTCTGAACTGTGCAGATATTAACAAAACACCATAAGGATACCTGAATACCAGTTATTTGAATATTAATATAAAAATATTCCATCCCCTTTTTCGTCAGTACTAGGTAATTTGTTAATTAGAACCCACAAATACGTTATAAGTAATTAATTAATTGCCTTCAATGTTTATTTTAGTTACGAGCGTTTATACAACTCGGGGTATTATATTTAATGTTTAATTGAAAAAGTAATTGGTAACGTTACATCTATAAAATAACTTTTGACAAGATTTGACACTGGCGTGTGTTTGCAATTTTTGCTAAACTTTGCATCGCAAAAACATCACAGGGCTGCAAGATACCTACTTTAATACTAAGTAGGATCAATATTTATTTCGTTGCGAATTCAATTTTCAATTGTAAAATTAAATAGATTTAGGTTCATTCAAATAACTTTTGAATTAAATTAAAGTAAATAGATTTTAAATAAAATAATGTCACTTAATTTTGTCGACCAAGTGCCTTAACAACATTGTAACCTTTTGAGACACGTTAAATTAGATTCGCTAAATTATTTCAATCATATTTGCAACAAATTCATACTTTTCGAAGATTTTGACAAGTAAAATAACACTAACCTATCAGTGAAACCAACAATATTTTTAAAGCACATTGTAAGGTTATGTTGATGGGAACGCGGCGAAATAGGGTTGATATCGATTAATTTACCATCACCAACAGAAATAAAAAAAAAAGTGAATAGGTTAAATTTAAAATCACGGCTACGTGCTTACTTACTATCTTTGTAATATTTTTAATGAACTATGTTTTGACATATTTTGAAAACGTGTCCAAGTTAAATAAAATTAATGTTGTAACAATATGCCGCTTCGATGTCGAGTTGTTGGGCCGCTTGGCTAGCGAACAGCTGTTCGTCTCAGAAGGATACAACGGCTATTTTGTATTCTTCGCTTCAACGAATTACAGTAAAAGTTTTATTTAGAGAGTAGGGTGGACAGTTACATAAAAGAAATTAACAATTTGATACTCACCGTCTTATTTTTAAACACTATAATAAATAGAGAATAAACACACTTTACGTAAAATGAACACACTTATTTTAGAATACACTACGTCCTTAAATAATTTTAAATACAGGTAAGACTATTTTAATTTATAAATACCAGGTTTAAATTAACTATGACACGAATATAAGAGTCGAGGAGGACGCACACCCAACACCGGCAAGCGCAGAAACCCGACTGACGCGACCTCACGCGGTTAGCGCTCAAAATAATGTTATGGAACGTTCCGTTTCATAATGCTTTCATTCATTCACTGCTATAATATTATTAATTCTTGATTTATTTCCCTATTTTGTAATCAAAACTATTAAATGCAGTAATATGAGTTGTTAATTACATAACTTGGAATCTTTCGATTATAACTACGAGTACTTATATTAAATAATGTTTATACAAATGTACGTCTGATATCTCTAAGATAAAACCTCATTATTCGAAATCGTAAAATAAATGTAAATAAATAAACTTGTGGTAAAAAGACAGCCTGTAAGTAAATAAAAGAAAATTACAAATTGCAATACCTGGCTGGGTTGTTTTACTATGGGCAAAAATAAAATTAGCGGAGAAATTATCGAGTTGGCGCCGTCTTGACGCCAGTGTGCGGCGGCGGGAGGAATTCTTATTGGTTGTTTCAAGACGGGCCTCCGCGTTGTACTACACGATGTATGTTTACTGCGCGTATAAACTTCATTAATTGTAATGATCATGAATATAATGATCATTTTATAAAAAAAAATTTAATAGTTTTTCTTGTAAAAGTTCGCACCTTTACTTTATTCATAGCCTATTTATGATAGAAAAAGTAATAGACAATTCATAAAAATATTGAGGGTAATTCACAAGCACCTTGGTATTGTTCCACCCTCATTTTTAGTGTATTTACCCAGTTTCCCTTAGGTTCTCTTCAAGCAGTACGTGATCCGGTACCACACTGCCGCACCGTTAATATTTTAAAAGTTTGCAATAATTATGTTAATTAGACAATTCATTTTATTAATTCATTAATTTATATATATTTATATTCTAATTGACTGCAAAAATACTCTTTAATAAATATTTGTTGCACAATTAACTATGGCTACAACCAACTTTTTAACGGTGAAAACGCATTTATCGGAATTCAAACATTCAGACAAAGATACGTTGAGTGAAGTAAGTTTTTTTTTTAATTTTATAAAAACTGATAATGATTTCATACTTTCATAATAATATCATGTAATAACTTCTCCGCCATCTTGAAGATCCAAGTGTTTGCCATGCCCTTAGATATTACAATTTTACCGAAACGACATTATTAGGATACCTACATCAAATCAAGCTGCCCTAAGCATTCTCACTGACTGACTGAATAATTATAATTTACTATTTTTGTCTTTCAACCCCTTCGCAAATAACCGTTATAGGCTTCCGAAAGTGGAACGAGTAATTCTGTGACGTCAGCAGAAGACCTACAGAAATTAGCCGTGATTCTTGGGCTAAACAGTGCTGAAGATGTGTACCAGGAAAGATTCCGTGTTGACCGACGTCGTTTGGAAGCAATGCTTGCTGGTAAGTTAGAAGGTAATATAGAAAAAAAGGAAGTTAGAAAACAATTTTTATAACACATTCAACTTTTACAGATAATTTGGATGAATCACAAACAGCACAAGCATTTTTCCACCGGGTAAGACAAATATCTTTGTCAAGCCTATTTTTACATTTGCGAAAGTTAGGTCCCTCAATTAAATTAAAAATTATTATTTATTTTTCAGGTTATGACTGAAACGAATACATTAATAAATTGGCCGGCTCGTCTCAAAATCGGTGCGCGTTCAAAAAAAGGTACTATATATTTTTTTTTAAAACATAAATTTCCGAAAAACTGAACGCATACTTTTTAAAAATTTAAAGTCAAACGGAACACACCTGTACCATTTCTTGTAATTTTGGCGGGCTGGCGCCAAATAGACTAGCAAACCGGCGCCAGTCCGGCGCTCTTTCAAAAAATATTTTAAAATGCAGTCGCGTGCGCGTCCGTTACATGAAATTACATATTTAACAATCAATTAATTGTTTATATTTTATTTAATGAAGTAACAATGAGTTTTGACGAATGTAGTGACGATTTAGTGTATAATGTTATTAGAAAATTACGTGAAAATAAATTTATTGATCTTTTTGAAATTGGTAGGTGAGGATAACTTTACATCGAAATGTTTGGTGATGTTTAAGGTTTTTATTGATTTTATTAAGTGAGTGTTATATTTTGTTTAGATCCCCATGTGAGAGTCGCTGGCCGGCCTAATGATGTGAAGCTGGCTCGAGAGAAAATAATTCAGTTATTGGACACTAGGGTATGTCAAGCTTTTTTATGTTTTATCAGTAAGATTTTTTGAAATAATTATTAAGATAAAATTGCTAATCAATATTTAGTATGTATGCATTTTTCTTATAATGTGTTTTTATACATGATGCGCGTATCGTGGCTATTATTATAGTAACAATCGTGTTTCTCGGAGAACAGTAACTGCGGTAGTAGACGAGTATTATGTGAACACTGTGTGTAGGCAAACGTAGGCTGTGCAGGATGTCTTCCAGAGACTTAGTGGAGAAACGACATCTGCAAGGTCACAAGGTGACTGGTAGTAGTTGGATGGGAAGAGCTGACGTTCGAGCTCAGTGGCGTTTGGAAAGGCTTAAGTATGTCCAGCAGTGGACTAAAACGAGCTGATGATAATTTATAATGCTGGTGATTATTTCTCGCTTCGAATTAGTGATTGTTTTTATTTATATATCACGACCGAGTTCCTAAAAATCACGCAGCTAGGAAGTAAAGTAATTACGATAAACCAATCAGCATTTCGGTCTTTACTTTATTTGGAAGCTTATATATTTTTTGATAGAATAAAATCTAATTGTTAATTCGTTTGCAGAATAACCGGGTTACAATGAAGATCGATGTCAGCTACACAGACCATTCGCACATCATCGGAAAGGTGAGTTCTTTTTTCAAAATTGTCGTTTGTACATATAACATAAGCACACGCACGCCTAATTAATTCCTGAAGGGGTAGGCAGAGGTGCACATATGTAGAGCCTATTAGCGGGTGAGCTTACTACATAAATTACTTACCTAAAGAATGTTCCAAAAATACTCAATAATATTTTGTCCTACCCGAAAATCGAATCCGAGACCTTTTGCTCGGGCATCGCACAATTGCGACCACTTGGCTCCAGTAGATGATCAGTACTACTTACATGCAGATGAGTGTTAAAATTGAATATGAATTTTTCCTCTCCAATTTTTTTTTCGTTTCTAAACTGTAAAGAAGACTAAAGCAATGACTGCACGGTTGATACACCGCGCAACGTGTCGCTGGTTCGAACGACCTCTTTGTGTGATCCACAGATTGTTGTTCCGGGTCTGGGTGTCATGTGTATGTATGTTTGTATGTTTGTCAAGGCACCCACGACACAGGAGAAAATCCTCAGAGTGGGGAAACGTTTAAAAAAAAATGGCAAGTTGGTATAAGCACGTATTTGGTTTGCTCTATCTAAATCTGTAAAAAAAAATACTCATTCACAATCTGTAATTGTTGTGTTTTGATCTTCTAGTGACGCATCCGTTGCACTCATTTATTTTGTCCAATTTAATTTTTTGCATCTACTAAACATGATTGAGTTAATTCAAATGAGTACTTGGATATTTAGTAACAATACCTACTCACTAATTCTTACGTAAACGTCATACTACGCCTGTATTTCCCCCAAAGGATGGACAGAGGTAAACCTTTTTATAGTTAATCGTTAAAGTTCCTACTCACCTATTAAAGCTAAAATTACTGAACTTATGCGAATGTAAGGCAACATAGTCGTTTGTCCTGACTATGTCATAGTCTCTTTGTCCTGGGATGCGCGAGCAAAGCCGCTGGTATAAGTAAGTCTCTTATTTATGATAGAAATATGATCGCTATGTATTTTTCCGCAATGTTTTTATCAGGCGTTCATTTTATTTATGAGATCAAATCAATTGAACTTCGTAATTACTATTATTGTAATCAAGCCGCATGACAAGTCGATCTCATCACGTTTTTCTCTCCATGTGAACTTTTTGTGCTTTTGTAAAATTATATTACCTACCTATTAAAATCAATCGTAGTAATTTGGATGTGGCTAAATTTACTACGCAGTTGAGAATCTTATTTAAGTAGTCGTTTTGTTAGGCTACCTACATTTTATAAGATAATTATTTAAAAACTGATGACTGTTGATGAAGGTAAAGCGGTATGTAAGAATCATAGCAATGGGCGTTGCATAGTCACTCTGCTCTGCCTACCCCCCTGGGACACAGGCGTAAGGTTTTGTATGTAAAATATTTCTTTTAAAAATAAGTCATAATTAGTATGTAACAGAATTATTAATTAAGCCAAATTTACAATTTGAAGCATAGTATTCTACAATAAGTAGCCTTTAAAAATCAGAACAGACATATTTAAATTACAAGTAATAGACTTCAACTTAAAACTGCAAGCCACGATAAAATCGTGATTCAATAAGTCCATTAGGCTAATCAATAGGCGACGCGCCGTTGACTAAATTACATCCAACAACACGGTCCAACACTAATCGCACTAGAATAAATTGCTATTTAGTATCAACACGCCAACTAAATGCTCTCTGAGTGCTCAAATATGTCACTGACAGAGAAACTGGTTGTAGACTACCTAGCTTAGTCTGGAACCTATTTATTTTACGACTGTAATCATTAAGGATCAGTTTAGAGTGAAATTTCTTGGTGCATTGACCAATAGAAACTTATTTTATTAAGATACCGTACCTAAGTATCTCAGCTCCTTAAATGCAAAGGTGATTCAATAGCTGATATTTTTTACAAGGGAAAATCCTTTGGTAAGTGCCTACATAGGTATTATAGGACTTTCGCCGGTAGTGGTGAAGGATACGCGTGTGCTTTTATCACTTCTATCAACTACCACAAAGTTATTTATTTATCATTTCATGTACACCATACAGCAGGCAATATTTACAAGTATTAGGTAAATAGGTACAGCATATACCTTAAGGAATTTCTTCCTGCAGACCTGCGACAGTTCATGTTCGACGACTGTCACCACTCGACACTTATTGCATGGTTGCCATTCAAGTAACAAAAAAAAATATTAAAAAGAAACTGACTTCAACCCCGTCTTTTTTGAAGTCAGTTTAATATACCAAAACCTTCTAATTGTAACAAACATTTTTTTTTGAAAATCGCACCAGAATCGGTTCAGCCAACCGCGAGATAATTGCGCACAAACATAGGTACATACGTACATGCAGGTCAAACTGTCCTCATTTTTTTTAAGTCGGTTAAACCATACTTTGGTATTCAATTCCTGTGTTCACATCTAAATACAAAGGTACCTAGGTAATTTCATCTCGGTATTTCGATTAAGCATGAGAAATGGATCTAGGTCGTTCGTCGGATAGATTTTCATAATGAACCCCTTCATTATTCGAATAAGTGAGATACCAAAATAGACAATCACATTACTTATTATGTAACTGTGAACATTTTAGTGTTTACTAACTTTTCAGAATGTTTAATACTTCGTCACTCTAGTTGATACTTCTTTCTTTGTTGTTTCAATCAATTTGGACGTTTCACACGATGTTTTCCTACGCATTTCCTGTTTATTCTTTCATAGTCGTAATAGACCTAGACAATATGACGACAACACGTAGTTAAAATTTAAATACAACAACGAAAACAAAGTGACAATTATGAAAACAAAATCGTTTTACATTTCTTTAACAGATAATTCTTAAGTTTATTATCATCTGTAGTACCTTTGTAGAATTGCATACGAAAACATAAACAAGTAATAATAATAAAAGAAAACATCGAACAAATTACTGCTATACACAATTACACACGTCATCTTGCCTTGATTTGTTATGGTAAATACGGGTGGGATCCCAGTCATAATTATGTGCCTTTTATCTTTGAAACACGTCCGCTAATTATCTACATTCAAGTATGTATTTCATAAGTCATAAACAACAGGTACCTAGATACAAAAATAGCAGTGACATTGCACCTACATTGAAATGGAATAAAACTGGTTTTATTGGATTTTTCATTACTTTTCCTTTTATTGTTAGGGTTATAAACTATTTGTTGCATTAGTCTCATGGACTGAAATTAATGGAAAACTTCATACAACTGATAGAAATTATAGTATTAGGTGATACCATAATACTTAATACAAGCATATTGAGCTACTCTTATCGACCGATATTGACTCTTCTCTTAAAACCATACCTTGCCTAGCGATCCTAAATTAGCCAAGTTACTTTGAATATTTCTCATTTAGGCACCAAAGCTGATAGTTGTTTTCTGCCGACGAATAAGATATAGAGCTTGATCTTTAGTACCATTACTCAATAGGGTAGTTTCCTAAATTTTATTTTAATGTCCGTCTGGTACATTAATTTAAAACTTTAGACGCGTATTTTTTCTTTCCTCACAAAATTAAATACTTTCGACGATATATTAATTTGAAACAGCGTGTGACGTCACAGCGTGGCATATTTTGTAGTACGTTATGACGTAACGACCTCCCACTCCTAAATTTAGTGCCATTTTATCTAAGTATTGCAACTTAATACGAGAAAATAAAAACCGTGAAAACCGTGTCTAATAATAATAATTTATTCATTATGTAACTGACGGACTAATTAGATTTTTAATTTAATACCCTGGCAACTACCCTATTGTTGCAATAATGTACTCCGTGAAAATTATGATACCCACTTATCACATTTTCACATTATTTGCCTAACAGGGTGGACTTACAATCAAGCGCGTGATGGAGGAGACGGGCTGCCATATTCACTTCCCGGACTCGAACCGCACCAGCACAGTGGAGAAGAGTAACCAGGTCTCCATTGCTGGAGACATGGAACGCGTCGAGAGGGCGAGAGCACGAGTTCGAGTGAGTAAAATACAAATAGTGTATAAATGTATAATACCTTCTTTCTGATCGACTTTACTCGATGAAATGGATAGATGTAACCCCAAGAACAGCATAATGAAATATTAGAAATACTTGAGTTGGATATCAGCATTTGAAGTGACTGTAATCGAATCGAGGATTCTGTATTGAATGTAGATAATAATGGTCATACAATATCTTTGTTAGGATGTATATAGTCAGGCTTTCGGACTTATTTAGTATTAAAATCAACAAAACGAACCATTAACTTGTAATTATATAACGTAGACGTCTCCGCTATACGACCAAGACTACTAAAACCATTATTTATGCGGAGCGCCTGTAGAAATAGTGATATATTCCGTCTAGACGCATTTAAACTACATTGCCATGGCTTTTCTCAACTGATAATAACATTTTATCACGTTATGGTCGTTTGTAGATAATATTTGGCGCATATGCCAAACAATATGCAAGTGTTTTAGAATTTATTACATGGTATGTAAAGACATAACCTTACTTTATCACCTAACGTGTCCTCTATAACGTAATTAGTGACGACTTGGCAAGTAGATACCTTACTGATTTTTGTGTTGCCCTATTAGTCCCTGCTCGTCAATGACTAAATTACTGCGATATAAATGTCATTTTTGTCTAAAAAATTATGATACCATCGATTGGACTTTTGCGACTCTGACTTGTGCAGGCAAACATAATTGAGTGACTCTTACCGCTAGCAAGTGCCTTAAAATTAAAAAAATGAAAATTTCCATAAAGTCTACATTCAGTGATGTTTATGTAGGTACCTACTTTCATGTATGTTTCTACTACTTTCTACCAGGCCCTGACTCCACTGGTATTTTGCTTCGAGCTACCGATAGTGCCAAGCTCGCAGCCGCTGCCCGACATCACCTCGCCCTACGTGCAGAACATACAGGACCAGTATAATGTACAGGTGAGATATAACTAATTTTAAAATACACTAGCTACTTCCGCGCGGTTTCACACGCTCTGCTCAGCTCCTAGTGGTCATAGAGTGATTTTTATAGCCTATAGCCATCCCCGATAAATGCGCTATCCAACACAAATAAAATTATTCAAATCAGACTTGTAGTTATGGAGATTAGTTGGTTCAAACCGGCCGGTTCCACTATCATCATCAACAGCCTATAAGTGGCCACTGATGACCAAAGACCTCTTCTCATACGGAGAAGGTTTGAGCATTAATCACCACGCTTGCTCAATGCTGGTTGGCAATTACAAACTTATAATTAGAAATTATAAGCCCAGGTTTCCTCACGCTGTTTTCTTTCACTGTTAAGCTAACAAACTGGTTCCTCGTGTAGGTAATGCTGCGTAACCGCCCGAAGCTGCACGCTAATCTGCTGGTGGTGAAGGGGGTGCAGTGGGAGGTGCAAGCCACCATGGAGGCGACCAATCTGCTCATGAACTACATGTGCGGACCGTTGGCAGTGAGTACATGTCATACTAATATTATAAGCTTATTGAAATATCGGTCATTATGTAGTGTGTGTTCATGTGTTTCTATTGGGTGATAACTTATCGCTTTTTCATAACTTAATTGTCATTCCTTCAGATGACTTAACCTACGCTTTAATTATACATTCTATACTTTCGTGACACATATAAAATGAATGAATTATAATATTTTTGGTTGTTTGACGTGGAACTCGACTAAAATATGAGCCTCTAGCATGGTTTGAAACTAGTCGAGTTCGTCGTCAATCAGTTACGTGTGTAAGCCGAAAACATAATAGTTAATTAGCCAACGAATAAGTTACGTTTGAAAATATATTTTTTTTGTAAATAGCGGCGCCTATAAATTTTGAAAGAGCATTTAATCACGTTTCTGCTATTGAACTTTAATCTTTTTTATTAAAAAGTAATTCTAAACTTAACCACTATTTAGTAACATAATGTGCGTTGTCTAAGTCTAAGAGTCATTTTAAAATCATGTCTAAAACATCAAGTGAAACAAGTGAATTTATTTCTGCAAATTCAAGGTAGCACTTTTACACGTCAATTTTTATCAAGCGTACGATGAGGTCGACATTTCCTAACTGACTACTCTGAGAAGAAATGCCGAAACAAACTCAGAAGTCACAACCCTAACCCGCCAACGACACTATCCAAAATCCCTTTCAAATATCCTATTTCAGAGTCAAACCCAAGTGCAGATGTCGTTGGAAATATCCCCAATGCACCATGGAGTGGTTGTGGGCAGGGGTGCGGAACAGCTGAAGGTGATCATGAAAGGCACTAACACGCAGATCATGTTCCCTGACGCTGACGACCCTAACATACCGGTGATTAAGAAGAGCTGCGTCACTATCACTGGGAATATCAAGGATGTTTATGCTGCTAGGCAGCAGTTAGTGGTAAGTGACTTTTTTTTCTGAAGTAGGTACTTAGAATTCGAGTCTTTTTCAGAGTAGGGAATAAGTAAGTACAAGCTTCATAGGTACTTAGGATCTTTTGCTTAATTCTAGATCATGGTGTCATTATCGAAATATAAGGTTTCGTTGTTAACGATGTAGTCTACGCTTTGTTAGGTAATTCGTAAGGTTATAGTTAAAAATACCTTAATGTTTGGGGTAGAGAGTTAAAATGTCTAAAGTTCAAAAGGCTAGAAAAACACAACTCAAGCATCGTTTCACGTCGGTTTTCTTTGAGACCGTGTTATCATTACAATCAAGGAGGTCCGTTCTTGCCAAAACATAGTACTACTTCGCGAAAAATGATAAAAACAAATCTTAAACAAACTTATTTTATATTAACAGGGTAGTCTCCCATTGGTGGTGATATTCGACGTGTCAGACGAGGCGTGTCGCATTGAGAGCGAGCTAGCGAACAAACTGATGCACAAGTACAACGTCTACATCAACATACGACGCAAGCCCAAGCAGGGAATCACTTCCGTCGTTGTTAAAGGCATCGAGCGCTGTGCTGGTGAGAGCTTTCACTCATATTTTAGCTATAGATATGGCTGGACTGCCTCGTTGGCCGAGTGGTCGCAAGTGCGACTGCTGGGTAAGGGGTCTCGGGTTCGATTCCCGGATCGGGCAAAATATTTGTAGGTTTTTAAAAATTCTCAGTAATAGCACGGAGTCTGGGATTGTGCCCGGTATATGGCAATGAGCTCATAGCATAAATAGTGAAAAGTGAGTGTTACATTGTACAGTGCAATAAGTGCCGTAATGAGCACCTCTGCCTACCCCTTCGGGGATATAAGGCGTGATGTTTTGATGATGATGATGATGATGATGATATGGGCTTCTGAAAATATAAAAAAAATGGTGGGTAGATAAAATTACCCACATAACACAACGGGTACACATGTGGATAAAAGGCGAAGTAGAGGTCAGACAAACCTGTGCAGTAGCAGATACCCACCTGAGAAAATTATTGTGAATTGATATAATATATCAGTGACTAGAAAATCACGGATAGAATCTCTAGGAACTTGTTTTTTAAGCCCCCTTGAACTTTGACTTATTATTGTTTACTTTTCTCTCATCATTATTAAGTAGATAGACCTACCTACCTACACCTAAATACATCTATTTCTATTTGTTCAGGTGACATCTACGAAGCTCGCCGCGAGCTCCTCGGTGACAAAGAGCCGGTGATCACCGCGGAGATACCAGAGTCTTACAATATTCCCTCTATATCTGCCAACAACTTGCCCAACTTTGGCGTGTTCAACCCGTTCTCGCCAACACATGGGGCCAACATGACAAACTCTCCTTGTTCCCCTTTCAACCTACCACTCTCGGAATTAGCAAACTTTGCCGGTTTGTCGCCAATGTTTGGCCACAACCCGCCAACGCCTGGCGGGTATCCTAGCCCATTGTCTCCGGTAGCATTGACTCCCCCAGTATACCCCAACTCCTGGATGGTGCCTTCTCCTCAGCCCAGAAGCGGACAGTTCCACTATCCCAATTTGATGCCTAATCCGAATGGTGTTATGTACAAGAACCAGGGTGGTTCATGGAACCGTGAGTATCCTTACTATCTTTACTAATATTATAAATCTAAAAGTGAGTTTGTTTGTTTGTTTGTTCCGCTTTCACGCCGAAAATACTAGACCGATTGCTTTAATTTTTTGCAGACGTAAAGTTAAAAGTCCGGATTAAATAATAGGGTACTTTTTATCCCAGAAAAATTTGATGTTCCCGAGGAAAAACAAAAGTATTGGTATAGATGGCGCTGTGTGTATTGGTATATGTCACATAGGCTACTTTTTATCCTTTTTGTGACGCGAGCGAAGCCGCGGGTAAAAGCTAGTTACCTTTAATTTAAAACAAAAATGGTTAAAATTGGGTTGTATTTACTTGAATATAAATAAGGAAGTATGTAAATAAGTGACTTCAATTACAGCAATGACGAATGGAGCCGACATCGTAGGCCTTCCTCAACAGATGATGATGCAGACGCCTTACCAGCAAATGCCAGCTGATAACAGACCTGTAAGTGGAAGAATATAACATTACAATTTGTTTATTACCTTCTTAGACGTTCAAAATTGCCTTCCTGGTCTAATTGAAATAAATGATTTTGACTTTGACTTCCCTTTGACTTGACTTTGACTTGACTTTGACTTGACTTTGACTTGACTTTGACTTGACTTTGACTTGACTTTGACTTGACTTTGACTTTGACTTGAATTTGACTTGACTTTGACTTAAACTTCATAATGATTTGTTAGTGATAAGACATGGTCAGTAACAATAGTTATGCGTCGTCTCCCCAAAGGTAGGGAAACTAAGCAAAAATACACCTTAAATCCCAATTTACTTCTACTCTTTAAAATATTTGTTTTTGTACAGACAACCCTGAGCCAGATTCTTAACTCGAGCTCGCAGGCGAGCAGCGGATACCAGAGCAACTTCACAGGCAGCTCCGTGTCGCTTGATACTCAGAATATTTCTGGTAAACTTTACAATCTTACTTTACCACGTCATACTTAATTGTAACCACTAATTATGTACTTAGCTTAGTAATCTTTCACTTAATTTTCTTAGACAACAGAAGCTTCAATTTTCCTTGTGCCTACTGCTAAGGAGTGGAATTGTTTGCCAGTCTATATTTCCTGAAGGGTATAACCTGGGTGTCTTCAAAGCCCCGAGTGAATAGGTTGCTTATGGGACGACGTCCTCCATTGTAGGCCGCATAATCGCTTACCACCAGGCGAGATGGTGGTCCAACAAGCAGAGCAATAGAAAAAAACACAGCCACTAAGTAGCAATAGAGTTTATGGTCACAATTAAGTACCGTATGAAGTTCTTTCTCAACATTTTTGAAGTTAATTATTATGTTACCTTATTTGAAGTTGCAGAAATCCTTACTAATATTATAAATCGGAAAGTGAGTTTGTTTGTTTGTTTCTTTGTTCCGCTTTCACGCCGTAACTACTAAACCTATTGCTTTGAATTTTTGCAGATGTCTAGTTAGAAGTCCGGATTAAATAATAGGGTACTTTTTATCCCGGAAAAATTGATATTCCCGAGGGAAAACAAAAGTATTGGTATAGATGGCGCTGTATGTAATTGTATATGTCAGAGCGTAGCCGCGGGTAGTAGCTAGTAGTAACTAAAATTAGTAACTCTCATTTGCATTAATAGTCTAATTAAGTATGAACCATGTATGATGTGTCTAGTCTTCTAGTCTAGACGTCACCATGGTGTGTGTATCCTTATATTCGTTGTGGTGTAGGTGGCGGTGACGGCAGTAACGTGGTGTCTCCGTCGGTGTCCCCCATCAGTAAGGGACACAGCAGCCACAGCCCCGCGCCCTCCACCGACGCGGAACGCTCACAACAGGGTACCTAACTTTAATACCTATATACCTACATAATAATATGCTTGAAATCATTGATTAAGTAAATACACGGGTTACTCACGTGAATATACTGAGAAAAGCTCTACTAGTTTCGAACCACACAGGGGTTCTTCCTCATGAGCAGCGTGCGCGGTCGCGGCGACGTCGCGCAGCTCACAGAACGAACCCCTCTATGGTTTGAAACTAGTAGAGCTTTTCTCAGTATATTCACGTGAGTAACCCGCGATTTTTAGTTAATTTAGTATGTCTCACGGTAGTTATTATAAAAACAAATCATTGATTGCTGACAGAGTTAGTATAGTCCATTAACTGGTTACAAAGTGACTAAAAACCTTAAGACCATACTGAGGTTATCTACTAATTAAAATACTCCCATTTCCTAGAATTAGCGAACATAATATCAGACCTGCCGATATCTGACCGGCGCGCTGTAGGCTGTGAGAAAAAGACGTTGGAGGCACTGAACAAGCTGTCCCCACTCACTGAGTATCGGAAGATGAAGGCTGAAGCTAGTAAGGTGAGATACCTTTTACACTCATATCACATCAACAGCGTAAAAATGTCCATTGCTGAGCAATGACCTCTCACACGGAGAAGGTCACGGAGAAGTGTGGGAGAGCCATGCTTCGCCACGAATGGGCCGGCTAGCTCGACCGGAGTGATACCACGGCCTCACAGAAAACCGACGTGAAGCAACAAAGTTTGGTGTGAGTGAGGTTACCGGAGGCCCAATTACCCTCCCCTTCCCCAATCTCCCTAATCCCTAAATCCCCAACGATCCTCAAACTCCTAATCCCCAAAAAGCCGGTAACGCACTTGTAACGCCTCTGGTGTTCCAGGTGTCCATGGGCGACGCCGATTGCTTACCATCATGTGATACGTCTGCTCGTTTACCGGCTTATGCCATAAAAAAAGAAAGAAGTCGCTCAAGGAACTCAAGGAGCTCAACTTTAGCTCCATAAATAATGACACAAACTGATAGACCATTCTTATACACATTAGTGGACAGAAAACTACCGAAGCGAACAAGATTAAAAGGCTCTAAATCTAATCATGAAGATGTAGTTAACACAAAGTATATCTACTTATTATAATGCTCTTTCTTAAAGTAACATCCTTTGCATAAGAAAAGACAAGGCCTACCATACTAATTTGTCGTAACATTTGGCACGAGATTAGGGAAAGGGTCAACCCCAAAATTTTATGAGTGCAACCTTTACCTTGCCAATACGGAATGCATGCCATCAACCAATACCCAATGGTGCTAAGGTCGAAACTGCATTTACCTTAAACAAATGCATTATGCATTTTAGGTCCTATCAGGTAGCTGTCAATATCAAGGCTTTTGAGTGAGCTGAATTTAAAATTGGTTGTGATAACAGGAATATGTAGCATTGCGTATATGAGTACGTATGAATAAAGTTATTTTAAAATCAACATAATTTAATTACACAAGAGCCCTTTGTTGCAGATCTATAATTAAATCTATAGCAGATATGTAGGACTTGTTGCATCTTGTCTCTAAATCTACCAACATTATTGTACCAACAGGCGATGCGTGAAAACGTAGGCAGCGGGTATCGTGTACCGAACCAGCGCTGGTCCGGCTACTACTTCAGCCACACCTCGCCGGGTCCTATCAACCTGACCGATGTCAATAACAACGAAGTTGTTACTGTAAGTAATTTTTTTAAACGTTTACTTCAGTTTTTTACCGTCCCTTTCTCGTGGTCTGTTCTTTCTTGTGAAGAAACATCACTCAGTCACTTCAAATTTAGTGATTTGTAATGTAATAAGTAATTTTAAATTTCAAGAAAGTATATTATCTACTAAATTAGTTAAGGATGCTTCTACACTGTTATGCGGCTAAAAACAACCCTAAAGCACATGACATGTCGCGGAGAACCTAACAGGTTACCGGGGCTCCGGCTCGACGTGCAGGAAGTGGAACTGGGTGATTTTTAGTCAGTAAGAGTCTGACACTCCCTCTCGCCTCACCCAGGCGGGAGCAGTCATTCGATGAATTTCCCCCCTTAAAAAAAGCACATGACCTCAGTTGAACTTTCTAAGGAAAGCAAGGCGAAGCACAGCCAAAACGGGTGCTGTAAAAACCCATTTTTGTAGTCTAGGATAAGAGAGGGTTTTCCAGGAACGAAATTTTCTTAGTTTTTAATAAGGTCATTAAGTTCAGTCAAACAAAGCATGTTCATCTTACTGAGCTTCAATTTCGACTTCTTTAGCCGGAGAAGGGCTGGAACCGTTCGGAGCTGGTGCGTCCCAACATAGTGGAGCAGACAGTGGTCACCCCGCCGCAGCCGGCCGCGCAGACTCCGCCGGCCGCGCCCTGTCGCTACCAGCAACTCAGCGCGTTACTACGGGACGTCGGCCTGCACAAGTACATTGGTGAGTATGACTAACCAGGTCTAGGTACTTTATGTAGCGTAGTACCTATGGACTTGCTTAACAAAAAAGTAAATTCTTAAAGTTCGTCGCCATCATATTATTATGTCTTATTCTTCCATTGTCTCCCATCACACGTAATCACGACATCACAAACACTGTTTTCTTTTGAAATCTTTCCTCATACAGTCTGCTCGTTTATTTATTTGGTGTCCACAATTTTCTTTTCGTATCGGCCGTGTTATCTCGTAGAACATACCCACATACGAGCCTTATACGTATTATAATTTCTGAATCACACATAGTTGGTGTAGGTATGCGGAAATCAAACTCACAAGAGTGATTAGATCACTTGATTATTATTTCACCTTACTAAATTAAGTAAAATATTGTCATGTTCCTATCCAGACTTGTTCAAGAAGCACGAGTTAGACATGTCTACGTTCACGTCGCTGAACGAGGCGGACCTCGTCGAGATCGGTGTCACCGCCTTCGGAGCACGTAGGAAGATGCTGCTATTGATAGCAGGTAACTAGATAAATTTCATTTTTTGCGGGAACGGGTTACTTACAGTAGAGTCAGGAGCATTTACAAAGTTAGCTACAATAAAAACGTGTTTTTCACAGATCTCAAAGCCAATAAAGGCAACTACCAAGGCTCTGCTGGCAGTGAGCGCAAGATGGTGGGATCACCGTCTCAGTTCGCGACCCTAACTCAAGACAAGTGGTAACCAACCACTGTAATACAAGCTACGTATAATGGCAACATTTCACAAGGCATAACTATAAAATCGCATGTCTTTTATTAATTAAAAAGTAATGGATTAATTAAGCAAATGGAGAGCAGTTATTTTTATTTGTTTTTGATGTTTTTTTAAGCTATTGCTGTCTGCTCAGTGAATGTAATAAGTATGAGATAAGCAAAACTTAATTATTAATTAATTAAATTAAATGTGCCAAGTATACGTAGCTTCTAGACTGAAGAGTTTAACTCGTAAGACTGATTTCATGGGTACAAATTAGAAATAAGATTTCTTCGGTCGATCCCTCATAGAGGCTGGTATCAAGAGGACCTCAGTGCAATTCCTTAAGGTAGACTCTATAATCTAAGACTTGATGCATTTACTATTCTCGTAAGCTTTTATATGATATTAGAACTACCTTTGTTCTACAACTGATTGCAATGAGCTTGTTACGAATTTACAATATCTCGTTGATTTTTTGAGATTTTAACATTTAAGTTATTGTTTATAAAGTTTTTTATGATATGGCTAAAAGCATAGACGATTTGATCTCTACTCAGACAATTGTTGAAGTAAACGGGCCAAGCGCCGTAGAATTAGTTATAAGTTTATAGAATTTTTTTAAATCGTAGTTTTAAGGAGAGCATGTTTTATTTTTTAACCCTTCATTTTAGGTTTAAGTACCAGTATATCAGACAATTGATTTATCAGATTCGGCTTTTAATGTTTGATTCATTAATGAGTGCAATGGAAAATGTTCGCAATTGTATGCGTGCCTTCTAATTCCATATTTTGTGAAATATGATTTTCAAGGACGCTGATAGGGTCCAAATTGAGAAATCACACTTCTAATTACTTTATTTTTGTTTCTACAGACCGCTGTTATACCAGTGAGACTGGTTTATCGAAGTGACATTTTTCAGTTTAGATACAAGAATCGTTTTAATCATTTTCCGCACAATCGGCAAAAATACAATTTGGACAGCTAAAATTGACTTGATTTTATATACGACTAATTTCTAAACCATTCAGCGATATGAAGGTGACTATCTTAGTAAGTATTGTGTATCAACGAGGCGTCACCCAGCTGCATTTTAATCAGTTAACATTTTAATAAATTCAATCATTATGTGTTTGTGATTATGAATTTGAGTTTTTTTACTGCATTTTTGATTTTAACCATATTAACATGTTAATTTAATGTGAATGCTTTTGTTTTAGTTTATAATTTTACACAGTACAGTAACATTGTGATACATAACCATTGCGAACATCTTTTTTTATTCTATTACTGATACTTTACCAAGGAGTTATGTATCATTATGTTTACTTTATAATACTTTTAAGATCGTTAGTTTAATGTTTTAATCATGAACTTGTGATTACAATATATCTGTTTTAAAGTATGATTATGAGATGTTAGTCGACGTTTTTTTAGATTATGGAATATTAATTAATTTGATAAGTATGTATTAAATTTTAAGAGCTAGTTTTTTAAGATCGGTGTCAGGTTGTTTATACGGTTTTGTTTTTGTTTTTAAAATTCCTGAAGAGGTAGGAATTTTTTCTCCATTATTTTAAGTTTTGCTTGTCTGATTAAAGTTTGAAAGAAAACTTTGATTTTTTATTAAAACTCTGCATGCGAAACTGTCTTTCAATTTAACTTTATGTAACGATGAAGTATCATCCACCCAATATCATCGATATGAACCACTCATGTGCTACCATCTACATTAGAAGCTAGCTAGCTAGCTTCGTAAAAGCATTTAGAATGTCAAATATTTTGACAACAATGACCTTCGGTTGAATATTTTGACATTTCAATCTGTCAACGAAGGTCGAGCGTGCAACTGTGCCGATAATAAATTGTACAATTGCATCATAAAATAATAAGTAATTTGTGGCAAAATGGGCAATGCAAGTGCTAAAGCTGTTGATGTGAAAGTAGTGGAGCCTCCTGCACCAGCCAATGCTGAGAAACCTAAACTGAAGCCGTGCTGCGCTTGCCCGGAAACTAAGCGAGCTCGGGACGCATGGTAAGGTTATGAACAATACTATTTTTATTACGCAATACACCTAATTCTAGAAAAATAGTACGCGGATATAGGTTACTAGAGTAAGCATGATAAGACACGATATATTTTATAGCAAAATTTTTCTAAATATCCGGTGCAAATAAGTATTTTTCTGTCTTTTAATGAAGCATAACAAGAGGAAAAGATTAATAACATAAAAAAACATTCAATTATATATGAATTCGTTTTACCTCAAGGCTATTGAGATACAATTGTACAGATTATCCTTAGACTACTAATCCATAATCATGTAATGTAATAGACTTTTCATTATGGCCCAGTGAATTGGAGGTCCATATTTTTTTATAGATAATACTAATAAAAAGAAGACTTTTAGAAACTTAGAAGTAGTGGAGACTCCCGGTTCATGAAATATGATTTTTTGCAGTTTCCACATACATCAAAGAAACACATGTGATGTACGAAATACGTTATGTAGTAGTAAGTGTCATAGAAGCGAACTTTAGGGCACCCCGACTCGGATGGGTTAGGCTTAAGGGCCCTTAACATTCATGGTTTTCTTTTAAATCACCCAGAAGTAGGAGCTTATGGGGCTCTGTCAACCATCTTGACAGGCAGAGTAGTGCTTGTAAACGTGATTTATGTAAGAATAATGTTACCTATTTCTGGTTTTTTATTGCTATCCGGGAAGTACCTAACCTCAAAATTGTGTCCTGCATATCTACATAACCATATCTCCATAATTATGGGGCTCTGCACTTTTATGATGAGACAGAGGGTAGCCCACATTCCTTATTCCACTCTCTCCTCCCTCTCCTGCACTGCACAAATATCACTGGCCCATAAAGGAAAGTACTACCAAAAGTATAACTACTACAATTTCTTTTACTCAATTTCCAGTTTCTGTACATTTTTTGTTACACAAATTGTTAAGTTGCAGTAACAATAGATATAAGCAACACTTTATATGTTAAAACTCTTCTATAATCTCGTCTCTTTTATTTGCAGTATCATTGAAAATGGCGAGGAGAACTGCGGCCCTCTGATTGAGGAACACAAAGCTTGCATGAGGAGAATGGGCTTCAATATCTAAGCTGTATCATCAAGAGACTGGATGGAATGTGTATCTAATCAATACTTTTTACATAATTCTATTTTCATTGTTTATTTATTTAGTTGAATATTAAGATTATTGCACTTTGTAATGGGAAGTAAAAGACATGATCAGTTAGTGATTGTTGGGAAAGGGTTTAGAAATCTGGGAAAAATATAAGATGCCATATTAATAAGTTAACAAAATGAATAGCTAACAATGGAGTTTAAAGAGTCGCCCCAAAGTTTTAGTATATCATACTATGTCTGAGAAATAAACGCATGCACCTTTTTTTTTGTTTTGACAGGGTAAACCTTCAAAAGGCGCCTAGGTTTTTGGGGATCAAAGACTAAAAGACTAGGGAGTGTGGGATTTTTACCTCACTAAATCACCCCGGTGGCCACCCTCAACAGAAATATGGCAGCACCGGGTCCTCTAAAAGAGACCTGCTCCGACTGACAACTAGCATGCTAAACATAGCTGCCAATGGTGGCATAGCAATGTTAAGGAATGAACAACGGCAGTGATATTTAGCATGCTAGTTGTCTGTAGCATTTTTATTTCATAGTATGTCTAGTTTCGAGATGTCAATGCTAACCATAGAATTATGTAAAAGATATTTAATCAAAAATTTGTATTAAGGTCATTTCGTTTGACATAAACTTGCATAGTGAGAAAAATTTAGTGTAGAAAGTATAAAAGATTAATTTAATATGTGGCTAGTTACACTCTTCAGATAGCTGCTATCCACTAGATATCTGTCTGTTAAATTAATCCCAAACTTAGGAACCTGTGAAACTAGCTTTTAATATTTATAGATTAGTTGTACTTTTCTTGTATGAATGAGATATGTGTTGAATGCATTTTTGTTAATTTAAGCTTTCATTCACTGTACTTAAAGATAATAATTCTTTGCCAAAGATTGCACTTTTCTATCATTTTGGAATAAATTTTAAAAAATGTCTCTATTGTAAAGGTTAAATATTGTAATAAATACCTAATTGTCTTCTAACATAAATACTGTGAACTAATGAACTTCCATCCACAAAGATCTGTGAGTGCAATTAATTTGTCTTTTATTTATTTTTAGTAATAATGTTGTAAATATATGTTTGTTAACAAATCGTTGTTTCTTTTTTATTAACAGTATGTTTATTAACAGTCAAAGACAGTGGACCTACCTCCATTTTAGTTTTGCCAGTCACCTTTACCAACTAATAAACTAAAGGCATCGAAAATCTTTGGTTTCATAAAAATTTGAAAATTATTTATTCAACACTACCTAACCAACAACTATTCATAATAGTATTCTACTAGACGGAAATTTTACATTTGTGTTTATTTGTCTTTGGTTTATCGCCTTGACTTACCGCCAACGCAATAAGCGCCTACTTGGGCTTTTAAATATGACATTTTCATAAGGAGCTATTTTTTATTTTTGTTTTATACTTAGTTCAAAGGCTAATATAACACATTGGACAAGCGCGATTTTACAGCAGGGGGAGCATATTCTGATTGCACGATTGTTCAATAGAAGGACAGAATGTTTTCTGTAACAAAAATTTAAAAATCTTCTCTGTTCCGGTGTCGTAGTTGCGTTCCATCGTCATCATCATCATCATATCAGCGTTAAGACGTCCACTACTGGACATAGGCTTCCCCCAACCCCCAATGTCTGCCGCGGAGAACCTAACGGGTAACCGGGGCTCTGGCTCGAAGTGCATGAGTAGGAACGGGGTGGTTTTTTAATCAGTAAGAGTCTGACATTCCCTCCCGCTCACCCAGACGAGTGAAGTCATTCGATGATTTTACCCCCTTAAAAAAACCCCAATATCTTCCAGTAGGTTCTCAAGTGGAGTCTATGTACCGGAAAAGTTAGCGTAGGATATCCACCCACAAAAGACTTATTGATTAAGGTCACAGTGAACCGTTGAATGCAGATCGTTTCCAAACTATCTGGATTGGAAGTTGCGTTTACAAACACATAATTTCACATACGCACCGCGTTCGGGCACAGACTAACGACTAGTGTTCCTTGGGTATCGAACCCGCGTCACGTTGCATAGCAGCCGATTGGCCAACTACTGCACGAACCGAACAGTGTACAGATAAGCAGGTACAGGGAAAACATATAGGAAGATATAGTTACTGACGTAAGGTCACATGGCAGGCGCCAAAAGCCTGACAGCTCCACTGATTAACTCCAGGGTCGCTAGTGATGAATTTCTCCCAACATTATCTGAAGGTCATAAAGTTTATCATTTGCGATTGTCGCTAACGTACGATATTGTTCCCAACATTGTGTCAACTTAATTATGTATTAATTACTTATATTTAATTTGAAATTATCTGTCTTCGTGAGGTTATTACCATCAGTGACGTAGAATTAAAAAGAGCAGTCGAGTCGGTATTGGACTTGTTTAGCGTTGTAGCTTTGTTCATGAGACGAGCCTGCTACACATTTCCACTTACTTTTTTATCATACATAGGTAGGTAGGTACTTACTATTTTTATCACAGCACATTACACAGAACAATCATTATTATTTCAGAACAAATTATTCGTGTGATCCAAAATCACACATATAATATAATTGCCAGGGTATCAAAAATAAAATCTAATTGGTTCGTCAGTCAGATAATGAAAAAAGAATAGACACGTATTTTTTATGTTCTCGTATTAAGTTGCAATACTTAGATAAAATGGCGCTAAGTTTAGGAGTGGGAGGTCGTTACATCATAACGTGCTACAAAATGTTGCACGCTGTGACGTCACACGATATTTCAAATTAATATATCGTCGAAAGTATTTAATTTTGTAAGAAAAGAAAAAATACGTGCATAAAGTTTTGAATTAATCTACCAGATAGACATTAAAATAAAATTTATTAAACTACCCTATTGTTGCGTGCGGGAATCGAACCTGCTGCACGTTGCACAGCAGTTGCCCAGCCACTACGCTAACCGTGCTATCGGGCGGGCTACCAGTATCTAGGTAATCTAGGTACGTTACTACATACATATCATTACGCCTTTTATCCCCGATGGGATCGGCACATTACGGCACTTAATGCCATTGTAGGTACAATGTAATACCCAATTTTCACTATTCATGTAATAAGTCCCATGTACATACATAGGTGAGATCATGTATATTGCCTAGGTATCTTGCCATATACGGAGCACAAATTCAGACTCCGTGCTTTTACTGACAATTTTTTAACCCTTTTTTAACGCAGAACCACGCGAGACTCAAGAGGTTAAATAACCCAGTAATACTTTGCCCGACCCGGGAATCGTACGCGACACCTCTTTCTCGTCAGTCGCACTTGCAACCACTCTGCCAACGAGGCACTCTTGGCCGAGTGGTCGTTCTCAACTCTGACTAATAAAATAGTTAGAATTTTTTCAAACTCATTGCACGAACCAGCGCTGCCTCAAATATGAGTCAAAGACACATGACTATCTCATTATCAGTGTCTAGTCAACGACTAACAATTACTTAGTATAAAGCACAATCGAGTATAGTTACAATAAACAGTGAAAATAAACTTGATAAATTAATTGTTATCTCCCAATCGCGGTGCGAACACAAGGCAGAACGCCTGTGTCCTAATCTTTAACGTTTAAAAAAGTAACACACAGATAAATAAACGTAAAAAAAATAAGTTTGACAGCTAAGTGATGAGGTTCGTTGAAAAAAATTCGAAAAAGGCAAGGGAGCCTGATTCTGCAGCCAGCTCTGTCAGATCCGTCGACAGTTACGAGTAAGTATTTTTTTAAGTTTTAGCTTTAAATCATTAAATCCTGCTTAATTCCTTTTTTTTTAAATTATGCTTATTTCGATATTAGATATTTACTTAGAACGTTTATAAAATAAAAAACCTTCTGCTACCTAGTTCCTCCAGTTTAACTTGGTGGTTTGAATCTATACTGAGGAGGCCAGCATTCTACCATTCTTTTTCATAATCTTTGATTGGGATATGTAGGTAATTGAGTACTTGAAAAAGTGAAATTCAATACTTTTCGAACTGTCAAAAACGACAGATTTCTATGAATTTTAAACGAGATTGTGTATTGTGTCGTCACAATTTTTAGCATCAAACAGCATAGTACTTATATCTTAAGAATTAGCTAGAAAAGTACCTACTAATATTAAGTTAGTCATAAAATCGAATAGCTAATGAAAGTGTGATTATTTTTTAATATTTTGTATTGAACAGTCGAAATACAAAAAGTACCTAATTTATTTTTGATTGAGGAAAGTACCTACCCAGTTACTATTATAGTAAAACAGTTTCTGCTCAAAGAATTGATTCCATTTTAAATACTATTAGGTAGGTACTGGAACAACTTAATGTTGAATGGAGAATAGGTACTAGGCTGCTTTTATATTAAATGCATCTCATAATATTGTTATACAAACATACATAACATCACGCCTTTTATCCCCGAAGGAGTAGGCAGAGGTGCACATTATGCCACTGTACAATGTAACACCCACTTTTCACTATTTATATTATGAGTCACATGTAAAAGGGGGTGAGCCTATTGCCATATACCGGGCACAATTCCAGACTCCGTGCTACTACCGAGAATTTTTTTTAAACCCAGTAATACTTTGCCCGACCCGGGAATCGAACCCGAGACCCCTTGCCCGGCAGTCGCACTTGCGACCACTCGGCCAACGAGGCAGTCAACGTAATATTGTTATCTATATAAATAGTGACGCAATAGGTTAAAATGTTGCATTACGAGTTTGTTATTATTTAACTATGCAGTTTGCACTATTTACGATACTTACTATATGCCTATTTGCATTATATTTATGTCAATAAGTATTCATTCAATACTACAAAATTTTATCACTGAATTTTCCCTCGTTGTTCAACTGGTTGCAGGTGCGATAGGATACAGATCAGATCAGATCAATGATAACTGAGTACGGGGTTCTTAGATTGATTCCCGAAATTTTCCCAAAATAAGTACTTACACTTAGTAGGTATACGAAGACATGAAGACTGCAATTAGGACGCTGATAGACGCCGGTTGCAGTTTAAAGTCAACAATAAGAAAGGCCTACCTTTTTCTGGGATTTCTGGGACTCTGATGAATGGTATACCAATCACCTTTATGTACTTAGCATACATAGTCCCAGAAATCATGAACAAACTTCCTCATTTGATATAATAAATGTCAATACAAAGTCGTGTCACTAATATTTACTATAAATACCTATGACCTATCTATTACAGTAGTATATATAATAAATAAGATGACGAAACTATGATAACTATTTCGTCAGACGTCTCCCGACCCCAGACAACATTATTTATTAATTAAAATTATTACTTATGTTATAAAACGGAGAAAAGTGCTATCAATCAAGTATCTAATTAATAACTTCAACTGTGTGACTTTGAAGAATTGTATCCGGACCGTAAGATGGTAGTGTAAGGTTTTTTTTATAAATTATTTATTCATTGTAAAACTTAAACATTTGTTGCCTTAAACTGTCAAACACCGCGAGGACACCGGTGACCGCAACCTATTGTTCTTTAATTGTGTCTATAATGACGGTACTCAGTGTTAAATCTAAACTCGCCAAACTTTGACGTTTGATGGCGAGATTAAGATTAAGATTGTAAATAAGTTAGTAGATAAAAATCCACCTCACACGTAAATCGACCAATGTTCCTTTTACTTATTGTTCTATTAACTCACAATAGAAAATACGTTGTGTTTTGCGTGGATCCGCGTTCCGGCACACGACGGGTTAAATTAGACTAACAACTTTTGATTGATGTTAAGTTAAAACCTGTATCGCCCCAAAAACATCAGTGCTGCCATCTGTTATCTTGATATTCCTTTAAAACAAAAACTACGATATTATATTACATAATATCTCATTATTTGCATAATAAAAGTATACTAGATAAAAATTATGTCACGTTAATCCCCAATCAACGTAACAAAGTAGTCAATGATTAAGTAATTATTTTAATCACAATACTTTAAAACAATGACAACCACAAACGTCATACAATATAAGACGTCTTTGTAGATGGTTCAAGTGAGTTCAAAAAGTAGGAGGACATCGGGGCAATGGTTAATGTTGATGGATGGTTGATAGGATCAAGGCAGATCGACGGCACGGAGACTACCTACCCTTGATATTAAGTATAGTGTAGGTATCACAGATATAATAAAGAATTTGACTTTTTTAATATTTCTGTGGTAGGTATACTGCCTCATTGGTCGATTCCCGAAATGAAAATAGTATTTTACAATTCGAATTTTATGTATCATCAAAGTGCATAATTTTTGCATTGCCAGTATATCTAAAGGTGATAAAGAAATAAAGATATATTTGATATTTTTCATTTGATATTTAGGAATATTTATTTACTATATTACAAAGTGACTTCACAGGTATTTTTATTATTTAATAAATTTGAAAAAGTACTTGTGTGGATTATTAATGAAGTTAACTCAATTGAGTTCTTAAGTTGTTTATTACTTTTCAAAAATGTTTTCTCAAAAGAAGCGGGTACGTTTTAAAAGCGTATAAATTCTGTCGAATGTAATTTAGTCGAAGGTAATTTAAAAAGTAGTAGAGTAGACATTTTGTGGCAATGAGGCACAAAACCAGTGTGAACTAAATAATAATTATTAGTGTCTACAAAGACACTATAGTAATAATTTTATTTACAAAAGTATATAAATCAGCCTGTGACGCATAAAGATTGCGAGATAAAAATGATGGCGCGCTTCAATTATAAACTGACATGACAGTGAATATTGGTAATCACTTGACGACAACATACACGCAAAGAAACAACGCAATGCTGAATTAATTTTATGACAAAATTATTTTAATAATTGAGCTTACAAAACTTACGAAGTGGTGATTAATTGGTAACTTTTCGCGCGGTGATTTACGAAATTGGTGATTAATTATTTTCTTCTTTAAAATATTAGATAAAATGTGTTGTTTATTACGCAGTGATATTACGTAATTTAATTTGAAAATAGTGTGTTAAATTAATATTTATCCAGTTGTCGAGTAAATGAATTAAAGTTTTTTTTTGTTTTAGAATATTCGGAAGTGCCTGTTCCGACTACACGGACTGTGAATATTGCGAGGATCGGAGACGACGTTACAAGAAACCCGGAAACACACAAAAGTGAGTAAACGTAATAATTCATTATACCAGAATACCTTTAAATATTTTATAGTTAGTATCTAGCCATAATTAGACGATTAATTTAAAATTTCTGTGTGTAAAATGGGCGTTTAAAATTGGAATAAAGCATTATGCCATTAATTTTAAAAGTGATTGGAAATAGGTAGGTTTTTTTTAAAAAAAAAACGTTCCCCCACTATAGGATTTTCTCCTGTGTCGTGGGTGCGTTTACAAACATACAAGTTTACATAGACATCACACCCAGACCCGAAACAAAAAATCTGTGAATCACACAAATAGTTGTTCCGTGCGGAAATCGAACCCGCGACACGTTGCCCAACCTAAGCGCCAATCGTGCAGTCGATTGTGATAGTTGTGTTCATATTATTACCGATATAGACCGATCACATAAAAGTATACTGTAGAAGTACCTATAGACCAGCAGCTCGAACAACCCCTAATATAGAATCTTAATTCATCATCATCACCAGCAGCATCTTAATTCAATCAATAATAAAAACAGATTTAATGTGAAATTTCGACATTTTTATGCTTAGAAAAGAATTGACATGTTCCAAAGACAGAAGGTTTCAATCCACGTCCACATGATATAAGTAAAAGCTTTAGAATTAAAAGTTAGGTACCTATGTTTTTTTTGCAGTAGTAGAAACGGGGTGGTTTTTAGTCAGTAAGAGTCTGACAATCCCTCTCGCCAACGCAAGGCGGGAGAAGTCAATGAATGATTTCCGCCCTTAAAAAAAACCTATTTTTAAAAGCCTCATGTTGTTATATTAAGCGTCACGAACAATTAATTTATCTGTGACGTTTTATCTCCCGCGGACATTCGAGTATTTGTAAGTCATGTTGTTAATTTCATGTCTATTATCATAACTAATGAACTTATTTATCATTTGGCACATGATTTCTTTAGAGTAACGATAAAAACCGTCTTGTTCATACGACGATAGATCTAGAAACGTTTAGAGCAACTAGCATTATTAACTGTTTTGCACTAACTGACGAATGATTCGTCTATATCGATGATTTTTAAAATGCTATACACATCAATAGCCTATAAGTGGCGACTGCTGACCAAAGGCCTCTCTTCACACGGAGGAGGTTGGAGCAGAAATGCTGTATATTATTTAAAAAAAAAAAACAAAATTGCCTTGCATTAATATAAATAATGTATCGTGGATGTTGTCCTTCAAAGTCAAAGTCAAAGTCAAAATCATTTATTTCAATTAGACCAGGATGGCACTTTTGAACGTCAAACAACAAAAATTTATAAGTGAAGCTAGTTGCTCATTCCAAGGCGTAGATTCCTATGGAGAAGAACGAGCAAGAAACCCCATAGGTTACTCTTTTTCAATCAGGTTTACAATACAATTCTCTAGTAACATAGTTTTATTGGTTCGATTATGTGAGAACAATGCAACACCTAAATCCAGTCAGAAAGACTGAAAAAGAAAATAACCTTGAGGATAATAAAATAAAAAGATACAGTCTGGAGCTGACCAGTTCCAATCGACGGTGCCCGTTCCGAACATTTTGCGAACTCTAGCACCGCCCAACTCAACCATTTTGTAGGGAATCGAGCGATCCACTGCACGTGCCACCGCCAACGAGATCTTTGAGTGAGCATGCATCCTGAACGCCTAACCCTCACTCGCCTAGCCTAACGCTAGTTTTTCGACAATCCCCTTTGAAATTAACGACCTCCCGTGACCCTGGTGATACTGATGATGTTGTTAGTCCACCTAGCAGGACAGGCAATAGGATGCCAATAATCTTATGAGTCCGACAAAAGACTCTCCCCTTTCTTGTCTTATTTATAGTTCAATTTTTGGATCCGCAGATACTGGTCCCCAAGTATAACGAGCCACAGTTACTGCAGCGCCATGAGTCGCGCGGAAGCCGAGCCCCTGCTGCAGGGCGCCGTCACGCCAACTTATAGAGCTGTCAGTTCTGAAAGCATTGATTCTTTGGTAAGTTTCACGGTTTAGCCTTTATTAGATGTTGATTAATATTATGATTATATCAACAGACACATGTATCTTACTCTGCAATTAATAATGGTACTCGCTAGCTAGCCAGCTGCTTCGCTCGCGTTTCCGTGGGTGTAGATATAAACTGACCTATATGTTATTCCAGACCTCGTCCACCCACAATCTACCCTTGTTCCAAATTTTGTCTCGATCTCTTCAGCCATTTTGATATGAAGAGGTAACAAACAAACAAAGAAACAAACAAACAGACATACAAACATTTATAATATTAGTAATAATTGTGATTCAGGATAAAATAATTAATAACTATGTGTAGATAGGGTATCGTGCTTAATTAACTAGATGCATTATTAGACTTTCAGGCTTCTGAATATCTCAAGCAACTAGTTGTAGACTTTTAAGGTTACGACTTGAATTGAATTGATTTAGACGATTGAATTGAATTGACGAAATGCATTCGTTAGTAATCCTCGAGATATTAACGCTAATTGCTCAGACTCAAACCTAGAGACTTATAGTAATACTGATCGTAGAAGATGTCTAGACTATGTCTTGATGCCTAATGTATTATGGTAGATAATATAGACCAAGGACTAAATATTTAGGACATGCATGCCATCTCACGTCATTTCATCTATTCTCATATATTAAAAGACGTTGTGTGATGAATGATATCATATTGGCTAGATTTAAGCGAGAGAGGTCTTCTAATAACTCAGTAATAATAATTTATTCTGCCAAGACATAGCCTTGTCAGTTTAGACGATATTAAGATAAAGTAATCACAATAAGAGGTCACATCACATCTCGATTGTGTTATCACGCTAAATGCGAAGTTGTAAACTGTAGTGAAGCGCCTAAGTATTGGTATTTTCATGTTAAAGTAATTATAATAAAATTATGTTACGTGCGTGTCGCCGCGTGCCAACGCCGGATAAGGGATAAGTAAACATAATTTGATGATGTTTCTATGTTTTATAGGTAATTTTGTGTAGTACCTAAATCTCGGTTATCAAGAACCCAGACCATGTAACAAAAAAACTGGAATACAGAACCTTCCCCTTTTCTTAAGTCAGTAAAGGGAGGGGCTTTATGTTACTACATTATGATTGATGCTGAATCGTCCAGCTTAAATCTGTAGCTAATTTCACCTAATAATTAGCAACTAGAGAAGTCAATTAAAATATAGTTGCCTGAGTAGTTATATAAACAAAGATAAGATACAACTATTCATTACATTAACGTAATTAGCAGCTTCTATTTACTATCGCGCGTTCCTTCCTATACCGGTCGCTTCCGGACTAAACTAAATACTTCGAAGTTATCAAGGTATGTGACGTATCTACAAAGTCGTGGACTTATTTGAGTATTTGAAGATTTTGTTAGCTTAGAAATTAATATCCGGTCTCAATCACCCCATCATATACAATATATGGTTGACAGGCCACAACTGTGCGCTTCTCACGTAGCTTCCTGCCTCGCATAGCAAAACTGTGGAATGATCTGTCGTCGGCAGTATTTCCGAACCGATACGACCTTTAAACCTTCAAGAAAAGAGCTTATTCCTTTTTAAAAGGCCGGCAACGCACCTGTGACTCCTCTGGTGTTGCGGGTGTGCATGGGCGGCGCTGATCGCTTACCATCAGGTGATCCGTCTGCTCGTTTGCCTCCTACCTATTCCATAAAAAAAATCCAAAACCGATCTGTGACGTCATTTGTATGGAGTTAAAAACTTAGATCGGTGATTAATTTCGAAGATTAATCATAGAGTAGAGAAGGTATCGTTGCACGACTACTGAACAAGAGGTCTTCGATTTGATTACCATACGAAACCAATTGTCGTACACTAGGTTCAATACCAGAGTAGCAAAAAAAAAAAATTATATCATTAGCTTATTTATAGTACTGAGCAAAGGCCCCTTCTCATACAGAAAAGGTATGAGCATTAATCACCACACTTGCTCCAAGCGGATTGGTGATTTCAAACTTATAATTACAGTGCTTAATTGTGTCTGTTCCTTGTATAAAACTGGCGTTATGTTACGTTACATTTGTAATTATCGTAAAATGCTATCATTGTTAATTTAAGTAAATGGATCAGCTATATTTAGCCAAGGATACTACGATACAAAGTGATAAATTGACGCCACTACTCCAGTGTTTAGTCTGTTTCGCTATACCATTCAGACAAACTTATTTAAGTAATTAATTTAATTAACATGCACTGAATACTCGGTGGCTCAGAGGACTAAGACGCCCGCTTCTCGAGCATGAGGGTTCGAAACCTACCAACATCAAGTAACAATGCGACTTTTCCCGAGTTATATGTACTTTCTAAGATTATTTTGACATCACTGATAAACGGTGAAGGAAACCTGGGCTTTATAATTTCCAATTATAAGTTTAAAATCACCAACCCGCATTGAGCAAGTGTGGTGATTAATGCTCAAACCTTCTCCGTGTGAGAAGAGGTCTTTGGTCGGCCGTGGGCACTGAAAAGGCTATTAATGATGATGATGATGATGATGTAAACAATTGTCGATGAGCCTAACAAATACAATAAAAAATAAATATATAAATAATGAACGTGAAGTTACTATAAGTTACACATATCTATTTAATGAACCTACAATAGAAATTAAATTGTAAGTAATTGAATGTTTGTGTTATCAGTAGGATACTCATTTGTTTATAAATAAAAGGCTATAAACTTTTGCCTTGAAATGGTCCTTGCATGTCAGTACAGACTTTTATCAAGACAGGATGAGCTGATATATACTCTTATCCTTTAAAATATTTCGGAGTCGCGGAGAACATAACGGGTAACCGGGGCTCCGGCTCGATGTGCAGGAGAAGGAACGGAGTGGTTTTTAGTCAGTAAGCGTCTGACACTCCCTCCCGCCTCACCCAGGTGGGAGCAGTCATTCGATGATTTTCCCCCCTTAAAAAAAATCCTTTAAAATATCGAACATATATCGGGTTTCAGTCCTCAACAATATTTTACCTATCTTCGAAATGAAAACCTTCAACATTTCTTCACTCGGAATTTAAGATCGAAACTCTTTCTTAGCAACTATATAAACACAACATCCAATGATTTCACCAAAATTTATCTTGCATCCGACGTGGTCTGGTCAAAGGCCTTTCTGAATTTATCAGCACTAAGCAACAATTGTAGACAGTGTAGACCCACTGCTGTGAGTTTAGCGTGATAATAATTTAAATATAATTACAATATGTTATTACAGATCACATCACGTGTGACCAAACGAGGTAATATTGTAGAGCAATCCCAGACGTCTCAAGTCATTGTGCCTTATCTGCTCTGGCTGTTTTGAGCACATTTGACGAATTTTTTGTCCAATATATTTCATACAACCAAAGACTATACAAATAAAGCCCGGTATATGGTAATAGGCTCACCCTCTATTACATGGGACTCATAACATAAATAGCGAAAAGTGGGTGTTACATTGTACAGTGGCATTAAGTACCGTAATATGCACCTGTGCCTCCCTTTCGAGGATAAAAGGTGTGATGTTATCATGACGTAATGATGATGACAAACAAAGACTGTAATATTCTTTCATACATATTAATAACTATCACCGATAACCCTCCTTTGTATTACCCAGTTTAACAGATATTTATCGTCTAATTTTCTAGAGTCAAATTTCATGGACTACCTAATTTTATGTACATCATGTAAGACAATGTATAACCCAATCTATTTTCTTCTAGGGTCCAGCAGAACTATCGTCCAATGACGTCCTCACAACGTTCCACAATACATTCGAGAACACTTTCAAACCAGAAAGAGTAAAAAAACAAAGTTCGCTAGTCACTATGTAAGTTGAACATTTATTCTAATTAGCATAAGAAGACTTGGGCATCTTCATCAATATCATCGACAATGAACATGTGGCTACACAAGAGGTCAGCACCAATGATTCTGCGTTGTTACTCGTCACAATTACTATTCTTCTCGACGGTGTCGTCCGAACTGATTACGGTATTAAATGGATTAAGTATCTACACATTTAACAGAGACCGAGCAGCAGTGATTTCAAATTCTAATCAGCATGACCAAGGACCGTCTTAACCCTTTGAGTACCGTCATTATAGACACAATTAAAGAACAATAGGTTGCGGTCACCGGTGTCCTCGCGGTGTTTGACAGTTTAAACTACGTGCACTGGCACAAAATATTTTGGCGGCCTTTTCGAATGTGTCTTTCTAACGTTGCCCCATACTACGATTTCTCCTGTATCGTGCATACAAGTTCATATAAACACCACCCAGACACGAAGCAACTATTTGTGGATCACACAAAGGTCTGCTCCGTGCGAGGATTGGACCCTCTAGGTACATGTTGCGGGGCAGCCGGTTGTCGCGCAACATGTAGCGGGTTTGCGTCCATCGTAGAAATTGTCAGTCCTTCGTGGCCCATGAGGATGGGAGCCCTGGGCACGGGCCCCGAGTGCCCTTATGGTAAAAACGATACCGAGCATGATAATTGCAAACCCTTCTTAGAAGAAGAAAGACATCCCTAGTCCAACACTGGACTACCATGAGCTGCTAATGATGATGTATACTGACTTTAACATCATTTCCAGTTTCTCAGTATGGAACACAATAATGGGTTCATCGTTGCTGACGATGGCGTGGGGCGTAGAGCGCGCTGGGTTGCCAGCCGCGCTGCTACTACTCGCGTTTATGGCAGCCCTGTGCCTCTACACAGCTTATGTGCTACTTAAGGTCAATAAACACCATGGTGAGTTACCTACATAATATCTTAATTATTATAGTTAAGTTGATGTATTAACTTCGTACAACGTCACTTAAATTCCCTTACATCATTTTTGTTCAGTTTTCTAGAATAAGAAACAAACACAGAAAATCACCTTTTTGGAAAATATTTCGGTGATGGCCAAATAATGGTCTGATCACTTGCAACTACAGTCCTGAATGGAATCCTGGCTATCATAAAATACCTGATATGGTGTATTTGAGTAGGCTAGTTTCCTAAATTTTATTTTAATGTTCGACTGGTAGATTATTTTAAAGCAGTAGACACGTATTTTTTCTTTTCTCACAAATTTAAATGCTTTCGACGATTTATTGATTTGAAATATCGTGTGACGTCACAACGTGCTACAAATTGTAGCACCTTGTGACGTAACTACCTCCCACTCCTAAACTTAACTCCATTTTATCTAAGTATTGTAACTTTATAGGAGAAAATAAAAAAATACGTGTCTAATATTTTTTCATGACCTATCTGACGGACTAATTAGATTTTTAATTTTCTTACCCTGGAAACTACTTAATTGTAGACAACATCAACAGCCGTTCGCAATCCACTACTAGATTCTCTCTCTCTCTACATAAGAGACAAAAATGCTATAGGTACTTTACCTGACTCTCAAAAATATAGAAAGTCACCTATAACCTCTTTACACCAGTGTTCTAATTGTCCAGGTAGTGCAAGCTGTGAAGTTCCCGCTCTCTGTCGTGAGTTGTTGGGTCCTTGGGCGGAGGTGGTGGCCCACGTGTTCAGCGTGCTCGTGCTGCTGGGCGCCAACATAGTCTATTGGATACTCATCTCCAACTTCCTATACTTCACCGTCAATTATTTTATTGGTAAGTTGTGCTTCATATTTGGTGTCTATGTTTTTATGGGATATGTTTTTTTTATATTTTATATTTGATGGGGCGACGTTTGACCACTATCTCACCTGATGGTAAGCGATGATGCGGTCTACGATGGAGCACGTCGTCCCATAAGCAACCTATTCACTCGGGCCTTGAAGACTCCCAGGTTATACCTTTCAGGAAATACAGACTCTGGCAAAGAATTCCACTCTTTAGCAGTACGCACAAGGAAGCTTGAAGCGAAGCGCTTCGTGCGTGAGGGCGGAACATCTACCATGAATCGGTGACGCTTCGCGGATTGTCTTGTGGTACGATGATGGAAAGGACTTGGGGGAATCAAGTTGTGCAATTCCCCCGCACACTCCCCGAAATGTATCCGGTAGAAAACCGAAAGGCTTGCAACCTTACGCCTGTGTTCGAGGCTTTGAAGCCGAGCCTACGGAAGAGGGATGGAACGGCAAACGAGCAGACGGGTCTGGAGTCATCTGATGGTGGGCTATCGGTGCCACCCACGGACACCTGCATTACTAGAGAATAAGAGGACTATAAGTGCGTTTCTTTTGGGGATACTTTACACGTTGAAAACACAACGTCCTTAAGGCGTTAAGTTAAAGACTGGATCTTTTTTTAATACTTTTCTTCATCATCATCATCAACAGCCTATAAATGCCCACTGCTGAGCAAAGCCTCTTCTCACACGGAGAAGGTTAGAGCATTAATCACCACGCTTGCTCAATGCGGGTTGGCGATTTCAAATTTATAATTAGAAATTATAAAGCCCAGGTTTCCTTCACCGTTTGTCAGTGGTGTCTAGATAATCTTAGAAAGTACATATAACTCGGGAAAAGTCACATTGTTACTTGCCGTTGGTAGGTTTCGAACCCGCACCCTCATGCATGAGAAGTGGGCGTCTTAAACCTCCGGGCCACCACGACACTTCTTCATCATCATCACCCTGTATTCGTCCACTGCTGGACATAGGCCTCTCCAATGACACGCCACTGAGCTCGGTCTTCATTTCTTCTCATCCTACATCATACTTTTCTTATTCTCCACAAACTCTTGTCCGTGCAAATCAATTACATTTTCTTACTTGTGTGGTAAAATATTTCTACTTCTATATCAATAATCGAGGAAGATACAACGTAAAGTCCATCTCATTATGCCAAACTCAAATATCTTTATGACTTGTCGCGGAGAACCTAACGGGTAACCGGGGCTCCGGCTCGACGTGCAGGAGAAGGAACGGGGTGGTTTTTAGTCAGTAAGAGTCTGACACTACCTCCCGCCTCACCCAGGCGGGAGCAGTCATTCGATGATTTTCCCCCTTAAAAAAAAGTATCTTTATAACTTAATATACTTCTCAGATCTCTCATCTTCCAACGTGACGCAGTACAACACGTCCCTGCTGTGCCCCCGTCACGCGAACCAGTCCCTCCTACTGGTGGAGCCGGAGGAAGACTCCCCCTACTGGGGACTGCACACCACGGTGCCAGTCTACGTCGCACTCTTGGTGTTCCCACTACTGAACTTCAAAGACGTGTCGTTTTTCACCAAGTTTAATTCGCTGGGTAAGTTTATTGTATTCCTAATCACTTTTGTTTGACTTCTCGTAGATTTTGCTTTGAAAGCTATGTAACTAACTTGACTGTGAGATTATTTATCGGTTATGACCTCTGAATAATTAAGGGTTTAGCTAAAATGTAGTTTTTTTATGTAATAGGCGCCCGCCTAATGCAGATGCATATAGATGACCAGGTCGCGAATAATCGGTGCTGCCCATGGATATGGATACCCGTAACTCGGAAGCTAAAAATGGATTGTTGCGAAATTTTTGGGGGTTTACGGGGATTGGGTCTAAAGTCTGAGTATGGTCATTTTGGACTTATGACATACATACATAACATCACGCCTTTTATCCCTGAAGGGGTAGGCAGAGGTGTACATTATGCCACTTTACAATGTAACACTAACTTTTCACTATTTATGTTATGACTGTTATGAGTCCCATGTAATAGGGGGTGAGCCTATTGCCATATACCGGGCACAATTCCAGACTCCGTGCTACTACTGAGATTTTTTTTAAAACCCAGTAATACTTTGCCCGACCCGGAAATCGAACCCGAGACCCCTTGCCCAGCACTCGGTCAATGAGACTTATGACTTTACAAGATATTCTACATTCCAGGTACATTATCAGTAGCCTATTTATTAATCTTCGTATTAGTAAAAGGCTACGCGTGGGGCATCAACATTGGGTCCATGATGACGGAGACACATGCTCTCCGCAACGCGGCCGTGCTCAGCGGGATGTTGGCACTGTCCTTCTATATTCATAACATCATCATCACTATCATGGGGAACAATGCGAGGCAGGAGAATAATGTAACTATTTATAATTTTATTTTTCTCGTACCTTTGTATTAAATATAATTATACCGACTTCAAGTTTTTTGAAAACACTTTTCTGAAAACCGCATCAAAATCGGTTCAGCCACTTGCAAGATAACCGCTTACAAACATACATACATACATAAATACATACAAACATACATACATACATACATACATGCATATGTTACCGGCCAAACCCGATCTCAGGAAAAACTAGTTTTGCCTAGGCTATACTAGTTTTTCCTGTACGCGTTAGGATGAACTAGTATAGCCTAGTTCAAACTAATTTGTCCTAAGCCCGATAGGATAAACCAGTTTAGGCTAGGACAAACTAGTTGATCCTGATATAAATAGGCGCACTCTAGGATAAACTGGTATGCCCTAGTCTAAAAATTCTAATATAGGTATCTAGAAAGTCAAAATAAATAGATAAATTAAATTAAATACTCCGTAATTGGTAAAATAATCATTTTTATTAAACTATAATGATTCGTCGTTAAAACTTATGGTTAATTGGTAATACAAACTATAACAAATAATAAGTGTTTTTTAAAACAAGCAATAATTATTTAAAGGTTATTAATTTAAAATCATAATGATTCGTTGCTACAAGTTGTAGATAATAATTGGCAATACAAACAATCATACTATAACTGACAATAGGTACTGTTTATTTATCACATAACATTACGCCTTTTACCCCCGAAGGGGTAGGCAGAGGTGCACATTATGCCACTGAACAACACTTTTAACTATTTATGTTACGAGTCCCATGTAACAGGCCTATTGCCATATACCGGGCATAATTCCAGACTCCGTGCTACTACTGAGATTTTGTTTTTAAAAACCTAATAAGTAATACTATGCCCGATCCGGGAATCGAACCCGAGACCCCTTGCCCGGCAGTCACATTTGCTACCACTTGGCTAACGAGGCAGTCACCCTGTTTTTTAATAAACGCAATAATCATACTACGACTACGCCATACCAGTTTATCCTATAATGTGCGTATTTATTTCAGGATCAACTAGTTTGTCCTAGTCTAAACTGGTTTATCATATCGGGCTTAGGACAAATTAGTTCGAACTAAGCTATACTAGTTTATCCTAATGCGTATAGGAAGAACTAGTTTGGCCTAGGCAAAACTAGTTTGTCCTGAAATCGGGTTTGGCCTGTAACACATACATGTCAAACAGAACCTCCTTTATAGAAGTTGGTTAAAAAAAGAAAACTTGGTCCTTTAAGGATTTTCTAATAATTATGTCGTGTTTGCATCTACAAAATTCACATAATCATCAACACCTAGACTTAAAACCGACAATTTGTGAATAAAAAGTTGTCAGCATGGCACTGAACATAACAACACGGCTTTTACCCCCGAAGGGGTAGGCAGAAGGTGCACACAGAAGTAACACCCACTTTTCACTATTTATGTTATGAGTCCCATGTAATAGGGGGTGAGCCTATTGTCATATACCGGGCACGATTCCAGACTCCGTGCTACTACTGAGATTTTTTTTTTAAACCCTGTAATATTTTGCCCGACCGAATCGAACCCGAGACCCCTGGCCCGGCAATCGCACTTGCGAGTTACGACCACTGAAGTATTACAAAATAATGAATTTGAGAATTGAGAGACAGCTTCCACATCTTCAGAATGGGCAGAAACTTCAGTTAAAACTTCAATTCTTGAATTGAGATATACATTTAAGATAGGAAAATCTGTTGATAAATGTAATTGAATAAGTGTTTCTTTTTCAGGGTAGGGACCTGACGATAGCATTTCTACTGGTGACGATAACATATACTTTAGTGGGAGCCGTGTTCTATATCTGCTTCCCACTCGCTAAGTCCTGCATTGAAGATGTGAGTACCAATATACACGTCTCGACCCCCTACTCCTCCCTTGAGTATATAAAACCTGATGCCAAGCGTGGATACACGTCTTCATTATTCATGGTAGTGAAGGCCCATATAGTCAAAGTCAAAGCATTTATTTCATTTGGTACTTTTGAAACGTCAACAAATCTTATATTATTAAGCTGAAGAGTATGTTTCTTTGTTTGTTTGTTTGAACGCGCTAATCTCCGTAACTACAAGGCTGATTTGAATATTTTTTTTGTGTTAGATAGCGCATTTATTGAGGATGGCTATAGTCTATAAAACATAACGCTAAGACCAATAGGAGGTGAGCAGAGCGTGTGAAACCGCACGGAAGTAGCTAGTCTATCTATATATATAAAAATGAAACCCGTTTCCCGTTGTCACGCCATAATTTGAGAATGGCTGGACCTATTTGGCTGATTTTTTTTGGTTGTGTTTGTTATTGTCAGGAGAAAGTTTTTATGATAGAAAAAAAATCCTGAAAATCCCATGGGAACGGGTGAAAACGGGATTGCGCGTATGAAGTCGCGGGCAGAAGTTAGAACAAAATAAATAATAGTCTGTCAGTCTGTCGGTCAGTGAAGCTAGCTACTCGTTCCAAAATGTAGATTCGAATGGAGAAGAACGAACAAGAAACAATATTTTTTTTACTTTTTTATTTTTAAAACGTTGCCCCACATTAGGATTTTCTCCTGTATCGTGGGTGCGTTTACAAACATACAAGTTCACATACACAATGACACCCAGACCCGAAACAACAATTTGTGGATCACACAAAGTATTGTTCCGTGCGGGAATCGAACTCGCGACACGTTGCACGGCAGCCGGTTGCCCAGCCACCGCACCAACCGTGCAGTCAATTTTCGTTACTCTTTTAAAAAATATATATTTTGTAAACATAAAGTGAAATAAACTAACGTTGGTTAGTGACTATGTAATGTTCTATTTTCAGAATTTGTTGAACAACTTTGAGATGCACGATGTGATGACGGCCTTGGCTAGAATACTGCTGCTGTTCCAAGTGAGTACCCGTACAACGTAAACATATCTTTTTGAGATAATGGGTGATATGGCAAACAAACAGACGGGTCACTTGAGTGCCAAGCACGAATAACTATCGCATTCGTAACGTAACAGTATCGAGCGAGTTAAGCGTTCTGATTGGTTGGTTCACTTGAGCCGGCCAATCAGAGCGTCGAACGATACGAATGCGATAGTTATTTGTGCTTGTGCCAAGCTCCCAGCATGATGGCAAGCAATCAGCGTCATCTAAGGACTAGAGGAACTTCCAAGCATTGCAGCCTTCTTCTGAGAGTAGGCAGACTCTTACTGATTAAAAACCACCCAGTCCCTACTCCTGCACTTCGAGCCAGAGCCCCGGCAACCCGTTAAGTTCTCCGCGACAGCCTATTCCAAGAGGAGGAAGGAGTTTTATTGAACTTTGTGTAATTTCACTCATTTGACGGTGTTCTGTGAGGTCGTGGCGTTGTATTACTCCAGTCGACCCGACCAATTTATACTGCAGCAGTTCCTCTCCCACAGACCTCAGTTCTGCCATAATTATCATTTTAAATTATTTTGGAAAGTCCTAAGTACCTGTAAATCTAAAGAACTATTCTGAATTTAATCCTATTATACTTTTACCTACAGGTAATAACAGTATACCCGCTAGTAGCATTCATGCTCCGCACGGAAGCGATCCTGCTCCTCCCGTTCGAGAAGTCCCGGCTGCTGACCATCACCATCAACCTCTCCATCATGACGCTTTGCATACTCGTCGCCTGCTTCTGTCCCAGTATAGGGACTATTATCAGGTGAGTTACCTTTCTGCTGCATCGTTGGCCAAGTGGTCGCGAGTGTGACGGCCGGGCAATGGGACGGGTCGGGAAAAGTATTACTAGGATTTTTAAAAATGTCAGTAGTAGCATGGAGTCTGAAAATGTGCCCGGTATATGGCAATAGGATCACCCCCTATTACATGGGACTCATAACATAAATGGTGAAAAATGGGTGTCAGTGGTATTAAGTGCCGTAATGTGAACCTCTGCCTACCCCTTCGGATATAAAAAACTTGATGTTAAGTTATGATACTTTTCGTTCATATTAAAAAAACTGGTAGCTACCTAAGTTAGATACATAAGTACACAAGTATACTTAATGCTGTGAGCATTTTGAGCCAGTTAAGCCTTTCGGAGATACTCTGACATTTATTTTTGGTGTAATGTTCTGTTTTCTGATATTTACAATTTATTTTCTTCAATTGAGAGAACTTCTATTTTTCTTTAAAGAACAAAAAATCATTTGGCGACCCCGATATCCCGCGTGGTACCAAATTAAAATAATTCCGTGATGTTACTAATAATTTTAAATCACATAGGAACACATTAAGATTAAAAAGCATATTATTATCATGCGAATAGTTCGACAGATATGCAGATTTATACTTTATTTCACTTATATAATGAATTTTAATTAATTTATTGAGTGGAAAATATCTGTAATCTTTCATTTAATTTTTCACAGATACACAGGCGCAGTGAGCGGTCTAATCCACATCTTCGCTCTGCCCTCCCTCCTTCAGATCCGGTCACTGCAGCTCCGGGGCAAGCTGACCTGGTGGAAGACCGTTTTCTATTGCGCTATACTAGTCTTCGGAGCTGTTAACCTACTCATGCAGTTCTTCATCAACGAATAATATTGACTTACTATCTAAGTTTTTGACAAGAACATCTTGATCACAATGTAAAATATAACATAAATGTTGCTTAACTGCCTACTAGCAGACGTGCAAAAATAATCTCTATTGACAAGGTTTAAAGTTCCATATAAAACTGTTATTTTGGATAACCCAATTCGTTCAAGGTGAATGACTATATAGACCAAAAGGTCTCAGTAGAAAGAAGTTAAAATAACTCAAGTAGATACATAATGATTTTACTAATTGTAATCCATACAAAGTATTGTAAGGTACAGACGAAGGAAAATTGCTGAATAATTCTCAATTTATAGAATCTATTATTGACTTACCACTGATTAGCCTTTGGACTAATTACAATTAAGGTATTTATGAATACCTCGTTGGCTACGTGGTTCGAGTAAAATATTGCTGGGTTTTTTCAATCTCAGTAGTAGCACGGAGTCTGGAATTGTGCCCGGTATATGGCAATAGGCTCACTCTCAATCACATGGGACTCATAACATAAATAGTGAAAAGTGGCGATTACATTGTACAATGGCATTAGGTGCCCTAATATGCACCTCTGTCAAACCGTTCGGAAATGAAAGGCGTGATGTTATATATAATAAGGTATTTATGAATAGTGGTATATCTACTTTTGACCATGCGAGTGAAGTTGCATGAAAGAACTAGGATCTAAGAAATTAAATCTCAGTGTTAATTATAGAAGTTACAACGCATTTTAAGGATTTATTGTGCAAAGCAATAAGTAAAAATATTAAATAGTAATTATAATTACATAATATGTATACCAAAGTTAAAATATCTAGTCATATATTATTATGTTATAGAAATAAATAAAACTAGTACCTTAAATAAACAACGTTTTATTTTTAATTACAAATATATTAATAATAAATTATAATAAAGAATAAAACCCTTTTTGAATACAATCTTCAAATTGTCTTTGGCTTATTTTCATTGTGCTACCTTTTCATAAAAATATCATTTTTTTAATGTAAATAAAATCTTCATTTATATGTTTAGAAAATATAAAAATTTGTTATACTATTTTAAAAAGTTTAAAACCCAGTTTATGATTTTTAATCATTATTTTAAATATTGTACTTAATTTAGAAATACAAAGGCTTTAACTAAAAATTACGGATTACTCACATAAATATACTAAGAAAAGATCTAGTTTAAAGTCGTAGAGGGATTCTTCCTGATGTCAGATGGATGTCGTCATTTTGGATCTCGGATATAGCCGTGACCGCGCAAGCAGCCTGCCTCGTTGGCCGAGTTGTCGCAAGTGCGACTGCCGTGCAAGGGATCTCGGGTTTGATTCCCGGGTCGGGCAAAGTATTACTGGGTTTTAAAAAAAATCTCAGTAGTAGCACGGAGTCTGGAATTGTGCCCGGTATATGGCAATAAGCTCACCCCCTATTACATGGGACTCATAGCATGAATAGTGGAAAGTGGGTGTTACATTGTACAGTGGCATAATGTGCACCTCTGCCTACCCCTTTGGGGATACAAGGTGTGATGTTAAGTATGTACGCGCAAGCGGCTCATGAGGAAGAGTCCCTCTGTGGCTCGAAACTAGTAGAGCTTTAATTTAATGTATACGTGGGTTAATATACATTTTTAGTTAACTCAGTATGTCTCACGATAGTTATTATAAAAAAAGGCTTCCGACTTCGGAGATCGGTCGGAAATCTTCGTATTTATACAATCAAAAGTTCCAAAGTGCGATGGCCAGACAGTACTTACATTACATTAATTTCACATTGATTTAAATCTAAGTATAAAATAATTGTTATAAGTATTTAACCTATGGCTACTTATAGCAAATATACGTTATACAGCTTTTGATCACGCATCGTGATTAGCGTAGATTTAACATTAAGTTAATAAATAAATAATTCCAACATATTGAACTGCCATATTTTTTAAAACTATATTAGTATAGTACAGAGACAGTAACCAACTACCGGATATTAGGTGTCTCGAATTCGATTACAGGGTCGGGCAAAGTATTACTGGGTTTAAAAAAAATCCAGTCGTAGCACGGACTCTGGAATTGTGCCCGATATATGGCACTCCCTTTTATATGGGACTTATAAAATTAATAGTGAAAAGTTGGTGTTACATTGTACAGTGGCATTAAGTTCCGTAATGTGCCTCTGCCTACCCGTTCGGGGATAAAAGGCTTGATGTTATGTTAGAGACAGTAACCAGTGCTTGGCTACTTACGACCAATGGTTAAAAGATGTGGCGTGGTTCAAAGTTATATATATCATTTAGTATAACAATAGTTACTGTCCTTGTACAGAATCAATCTTGATTTCATACCTGCTACTAAATAACTACGACTACAATATTAAAATAGTTTTCATTATCAATTATTTATTTTAGGGCTGTGCAAACTATATACCCTCGCGGGCTAATTAAATTTCTTACAAAACCTGGAGGGTTTTTTTGAGGGGGGAAAATCATCGATTGACTGCTCCCGCCTGGGTGAGGCGGAAGGGAGTGTCAGACTCTTACTGACTAAAAACCACCCCGTTCCTTCTCCTGCACGTCGAGCCGGAGCCCCGGTTACCCGTTAGGTTCTCCGCGACTCCGAATCGGCATCGGCCCTGTTGGGCAAGCTGGAGGGCTAGAAAAATGTTTTCAGTTGCAAAATGACGTTTATCGTTATATTCTTTACTCATAGACAAAACTTATATACAAATCATACACTGAATTTTATTATTGTTTTTGGACATAAGATGAAGATGTTGAGATTAAAACGTGTATCGCGGGCCACATGAAACCAAGCCAAGGGCCACATGCGGCCCGCGGGCCTTTGTTTAGACAGCCCTGATTTAGTTAATTAGAAAAATATAAAAAATGTATACATGTAACAAAATCACAAGACAAACTGCACATTATAATTATATTTTTGATACAATAAAATACAAATCAAAAAGCTTTATTTCACTCAGATTATAATTGAGAACCTCCTCCTTTTCTGAAGTCGGTTAAAATCTATAATATTTGCGCTACGGATAACAGAGAGATTAATATACGTTATTACTTATTATTTAACCATTATTAAATAATATAATTATTATGTTTAACAACACTCCATTATAGGAATTTATTTTATAACTTACAGGTATTAAAATTACATAGATTTGCCTACTAAAGATAGCATTTTGTGTTAAATACAATAATAGAGTACTTTCCTAAATATTATTTTAATGTCCGTATGGTAGATTAATTTAAAACATTAGACACGTATTTTTTCTTTTCTCACAAAATTAAATACTTTCGACGATATATTGATTTTAAATATCGTGTGACGTCACAATGTGCTACAAAATATGACACGGTGTGACATAACGACCTCTCCTAAATTTAACGCCATTTTATCTAAGTATTGTAACTTAATAAAAAAATACGTGTCTAATATTTTTTCATTATCTAACTGACGGATTAATTAGATTTTTAATTTTCATACCTTGGCAACTACCCTATTATGTATATTAATCGCCACGTAGCATGATTTTGTAAACTAATTTTACATTATAACGATCTTCGTAACTTATCATGATTCTGATTTTTTCAGACATTGCTACCTTCACTTCAAATAGCAGAAGGGTGATTGTACAAAAAAATATCGCAAAACATTAACAGTGTCTTTATCCTAAACACAAAGTTCTTCTGCTCATTAAAACACATAAATTGGTTTCAAGAAATTGAGCTGTGTGAGCTCTCAACCAATCCAATAAGACTACAGATGCTGATAAGTCACCACGATGCTTAACAACGCAGTAGGATAATGATTTATTGATATAAAACTTAAAGTTTTTCAGAGAAACACCCAGAACTACTAATATTTTATATTTATATTGTACAATCAAAGGTCAAAAGTTCACTCTCACCGTAAGACCACTATCGGTTGCGCTACAGCGCTTATACACACACGCACACACACACACACGCATATTTGTATCCGAGTGCGTACGCGTGCGTGTGTTTATGCGTACGCACGCATTTTTTATGCACATTAATATGAAATTACTTACGCATTGAACGCAATGAAATTACTCACACGTGTGAACATCAGTCACGGTGGCAGTGGACTTTTGACCTTTCACTGTACGAACATACACAAGGAAAATTATCGATTCTTTTTTGCTATTCTTTATGTTTATTTATATTAATAACAGAATTTTAATAAGTTTGGCCATTTTAGAATACGGAATATTTACGAAACTTGGGTTTGTTATAGAGAAAGGAAGATATATTCATGACATACATACTATATGCTATGTTATTATGTGATAACAGTGGGTGCGTCACGTCCGGTGTATTTCGGTAGTTCAGATATTTGTAGAGCGACGTCTATCAGGGGCTTCAACATTACTTGAGCGTCGCCCAACACGTCTTTAGCTTCGTACGAGTCTATGTACAACCTGTAAAAGGATTATTATTGATGAGTTAACTGTTGTACTGTGGAAAGAATAAACGTTTGACATTTGTAGCTGTCACAAAATAGTACTATAAACATTTTAAGGCTGGCTTTATTGTAGACGAAGGAAATCGATATAACTCTGCCCAAACTACTGATTCCAATTTATAAATTTGTGATAATTGACTTGGAATATTAGGCTAACGAGCAGACGGATCACCTGATGGTAAGCGATCAGCGCCGCCCATGGACATCAGCAACACCAGACGAATCACGAGTGCGTTGCGTTTTAAAAAGGAATGGTAGATTTTTAAGTTGAATAATTTTTTCTTATCCTTATATAATTTATTTACCTTTTAATTTAAAAATAATGGTTATTTATGTAAGATTAATTGGTGGAATTTTAGGTTATTTTATTACGCTCTTTTCTTGAAGGTTTGGAGGTCGTATGCCCAATATTTCGAGTGATTTTTCGACGTATAAATACAGAACATACCTGACAGTAGCTCCCGAGCTGCCAGTACCGCTGAGTCGCAACACAATGCGGGAACCATCCTCGAAGATTATGCGGAGACCCTGCAGTCGATAAAAAATGAATATAAGAAGCTTCAGTAAAAACGCGAGCACACTGAACTGCGGCGACCGCGCACGCTGCTCATGAGGAACCCCTCTGTGGTTCGAAACTAGTAGAGCTTTTCTCAGTATATTCACGTGTGTAACCCGCGTTTTAACTTAATTTAGTGTCTCTCACGATAGTTATTATAAAAATATAAGAAGCGTTAATTAGAAAGATTCTGCTTTTCAATGTTTTCTTGCTGTTACGAAGATTTTTCTCTAAATAACTAAACAACCAAAAATTATACTTTTTCTGACCCGAAAATGAAACCTAGACCTAATATTTCGTAATCAAATTTGTGTCCACTCCAACAACAGGACAGGTTCATGTATAAAAGTAATTATTGAAAGACTGCCTCATTGGCCGAGTGCTCATAAGTGCGACTGCCGGACAAGGGGTCTCGGGTTCGATTCCCGGGTCGGGCAAAGTATTACTGGGTTTTTAAATACTCTCAGTAGTAGCACGGAGTCTGGAATTGTGCCCGGGTGTATGGCAATAGGCTCACCCCCTATTACATGGGACTCATAACATAAATAGTGAAAAGTGGGCGTTACATTGTACAGTGGTAATATGTGCACCTCTGCCTACCCCTTCGGGGATCTGAGGCGTGATGTTATGTTATGTATTAGAAGAATAATTGTTCACCTGTTTCATAGCAACGCTCTGGTCGATAGGATCCATATAGGAGAAGTTGTCAGCTAGTTTGACGACGTACGTCTTCCCCCCGGCGGAGTGGGAGGAGCCGACGAAGCCGGGCGACGTGATCTTCTTCTCCAACACCTGCATCATCTCGTTGCAGGAGTCGCTTGCGCATTCCTCGTAGTCGTATCTGAAAGTATGAAGTTGTTCGTTTTACATCTATACTAATATTATAAAGAGGAAAGATTTGTACCTATTTTTGTATGTTTGTAATGAATAGGCTCAAAAAGTACTGAGCCGATTTAAAAAATTCTTTCACCAATAGAATGCTACATTCTTCCAATTTGACATAGGCTACATTTCATTTTGAAAAAAAATAGGGATCCTTGGTAAAATTTGAACAATATAACCAAAGGTGTAGAAAAATAACTCTTAAAATGTCTTTCGTCGAATGCGCTGCCGAAACTATTAGTGATAGAACAAAATAATGTACAACAATATTGAAGAAAATCATAATGTCTACAAAAAACTCCGCGGTAGCATATGTCCAACTACTGTAGTTATGTCACTACAACAATCCAAATTTCCGAAAAATAAATAATTGTCTACCCCGTGCGAAGCCGGGACAGGCTGCTAGTTTATAATAAAATTATAACTAAAGACCCGCCCCAGCTTCGCACGGGTGCAATATGCATGTATTGTACATATAAACCTTCCTAAAGAATCAATCTATCTAATAAAAAAAACCGCATCAAAATCCGTTGTGTAGTTTTAAAGATCTAAGCATACATAGGGACAGACATACGGCGGATAGCGACTTTGTTTTATACTATTGACTGCACGGTTGGTGCGGTGGCTGGGCAACCGGCTGCCGAGCAACGTGTCGCGGGTTCGATTCCCGCACGGAACAACACTTTGTGCGATCCACAAATTGTTGTTCCGGGGCTGGGTGTCATGTGTATGTGAACTTGTATGTTTGTAAACGCACCCACGACACAGGAGATAATCCTAGAGTGGGGCAACGTTTAAAAAAAAAACTATGTAGTGATTTAGTGCTAATGGATAGTATGGGATGTCTTACGGAATTGAAGGCTTGTGATAGACTATTGCGTCAGATAGAAGAAATATTATAAAAGTCATTCTAATCTATTTAGCTATTTACAAACATACATTTTTTTATATATAAAACGAATATATAACCTTTTTCTTGTCTATAACATAGAATTAACACTTTGAGTGATATTTGTTCATAGAATCAAAAGCAAGAACCAGAATCAGATTTCTCAGCTTCATTACCTATGGATGCCCATTGCAGACCCAGGGATTCAGACTATCTTTATACTATAGAAAAAACTCTAATTTGAACATTTCACATTTGCAATATGATGTTAGTTACCTAGTAAAATAATTCCTGCCGTATTTAGCCCAGTGCGCCTTGAGTATATCCTCCACGGAGTGTCCAGTCCCGGCCAGTACAGACAGCCAGGCGAGGGCGGCCCACAGTCCGTCCTTCTCCCTGATGTGGTCGGAGCCTGTGCCGAAGCTCTCCTCGCCGCATAACGACAGGCGACCAGCGTCCATTAGGTTGCCGAAATATTTCCAGCCTGGTAAAAAATATACCTATATTGGTGATGAATGTTTACAGACTATTAGATCTAGGTTTAACGTTAGGTTTCTTGGATTTTCTATTTATAAATGTTAAGTATAAACCCTTAGGAATAATATAAATTAATACAACTAATGCCGGAATACTGAAATGTTACTCAATTTTAAGTCGTGCGTAAATATCGTGTCATCTCTGTCATTTTACAAAGAATTTGTAGAGATAGAACTATACTTAAGCACGACTTAAAATTGAGTAGCGTTTCAGTATTCCGACATAAGAGACACAAATTCTTTTTTTTTATGGCATAAGCCGGTAAACGGGCGGACGGATCACCTGATGGTAAGCAATCGGCCTCGACCATGGACACCTGGAACACCAGAGGCGTTACAAGTGCGTCACCGGCCTTTTGGGGATTAGGAGTTTGAGGATCGTTGGTTATTCAGGGATTGGGGAGATTGGGGAAGGGGAGGGTAATTGGGCCTCCGGTAACCTCACTCACACGACGAAACACAACGCAAGCGTTGCTTCACGTCAATCATCATTAATCAACATCTATTTTAGATGATCTCAGAGATTTTGAGAGAATTTAGAAGCTGAGTATTTTGAAACTTTTCTTAATTCATGCTATAAAACACAAACATTGAAATATTCATAAACTAGCCTTTACCCGCGGCTTCGCTCGCGGCACAAAAGGATAAAAAGCCAATGTGACATATACAAATACACACAGCGCCATCTATACCAATACTTTTGTTTTCCCTCGGGAATATCAAATTTTTCTGGGAAAAAAGTACCCTATTATTTAATCCGGACTTCTAACTTTACATCTGCAAAAAATCAAAGCAATCGGTTGAGTAGTTACGGCGTGAAAGCGGAACAAACAAACAAACAAACAAACTCACTTTCAGATTTGTAATATTAGTAAGGATTAGTAAGGATTTACTTACCAGTCGGCACTTCAAACATCTCGAAGCCAGTAGCAGCCGCGACCCTATCCACAGCGGCTGCCGTGGGCATGGAGCGAGCGAAGCCCCGGACCCCGGTCCGCTGGAAGTAGGGGATCAGCTGCAAGTAACTGGCTAGCACTGCCAGCGAGTCTGACGGAGTCACGAAGAACGCGCCACGACCTATTATCATGTTCCTGTCACCTGGACAAATAAAATGGGGATGATGACAGGGTATGAAAATTAAAAATATAATTAGTCCGTAAGTTAGGTAATGAAAAAATATTAGACACGTATTTTTTTATTTTGTCGTATAATAAAACAATACTTAGATAAAACGAATCAAAGTTTAGGAGTGGGGGCTAAAACGTCATTCCTTAGTATAAAATGTACTGAGAAGTGACGTCACGCGACATTTCAAATCAATATATCTTCGAAACTATTCGTTTCTGTGAGAAAATAAAAAATACGTGTTTAATGTTTTTAAATAATCTATCAGACGGACATTAAAATAAAAATTAGTCGTCTACCCTATTAGGATAAGTGTAAAAAATATGTATCTTATTGGTCAAAGTATATATTAGTATGCTATTTGGTATCTTGTCTATGTATTTATTTGCGCCGAAACAGCTCTTAAGCAGCGTTAAAAATCTGGATACCTCATCTCAACATATACATAGACAATTGGCTAGTTTCCTAGGATTAAAACAAATTGTTCCAACTTTTCAATGCAATAAATAATCATACTCTCATCCATTGATTTGACAATTTACCTACTTTTGGATTTGTTCTCGCTAATTTTAATGAAATAAGTATGATATTTGATGCAGAAATATGATGGCGTCATAAGTTGCGATCCAATATAAAATTCATGGAAAAGTATAGTTTTTGACATTTCAATAAAAGTATTGAATTTTACTACCTGTCAACTACCGTATTGTTTTGTGTTTTAATGAAAGAACTTTTCATTAACTATATCTTGCTGCGTTGAACATTTTAGAGAACAAAGCACTGAACCCCAGGCAAACAGTAAGAAGTAAATAAGGTGTGCAGAGCTGGAATCTAGATTTTGAATTTATTGAGCCTTGATTAGCATTTTTATTCAATATCGCAGCTAAAACATTTCTTAATGACTTTTTAAATTAAGTACTATATTGCATTAAGTAAATGACTGCCTCGTTGGCCAAGTGGTCGCAAGTGCGACTGCCGGGCAAGGGGTCTGATGTTTAATTCCCGGCTCGGGCAAATTATTACTGTTGTTTTTTTTATTCTCAGTAGTAGCACGGAGTCTGGAATTGTGCCCGGTATATGGCAATAGGCTTACACCCTATTACATGGGCCTTATAATATAAATAGTGAAAAGTGGGTGTTACATTGTACAGTGGCATAATGTGCACCTCTGCCTACCCCTTCGGGGATAAAAGGCGTGATGTTATGTTATATTTAAATAATAAGCACTTACCATCTCCATCAAAAGCAGCTCCGAGATCATAGTCCCCACCCTTGACAGCATTCACGAGGTCAGCAGCGTAAGTGAGGTTGGGATCTGGATGGGCGCCTCCAAAGTCCTCCAGAGGTACGATACGACGCACATTGCCCTCCCTAGCGCCCAACTCGTCGATAAATATACGCTTTACATAGGGACCGGTGACTGAAAGAAAAGTATTTTTTGAGGAAATATATAACTTTAATAAAATATACGTACTACCTCGTAACTTATCAATAAGTGGAGATGGGATTTAAAGTTCAATTTTCAGGACGTTATTGGCGTATTTTCATTTTACGTAAATTTTCTGTAGTAGGTAAAAGTATTTTTTCAACCCGAATCGAATTGGGTACTTTCCTTAAACAAAAAAAAAAAAAAATCGACTGTTCAATATAATAAAATATTAAAAAATAATTTACTTATCATTAATTGGTTTTATTGCCAACTTTATTTTAATATTTTTCCAACAATTTTTTATGATATAAGTATGTTGTTGGCGCTAAAGAAAGAAACGTGACGTCATAATACACAATCTCGTACAAAATAGAAAACTCGTTTCTGACAATTCGAAAAAAATATTGTATTTGACTAGTTAGTAAGTACCCAATTGAACTTGAAGCCTCATACTAGGTATTTAAATCCGCGGTTTGTTAACAGACAATAGGTAATTATCACTAAAATAAAATTAGGTCAATGACTCTTATCAGAAACACAAATGATAGCGTGATACCGTGATACGCCTGTGGTATAAGACTGATAGTCATTCACCACTTTACACTGCATGATCCGAGGTCTCTGAGGTCAGAAGCCAGCTAAAGTACCTACTGAACTTACTGGATTTTAATACCTACTTGTGTGACATGATTTTTTTAGTTAGTAACTGTGAGTGAGTGTCAATATATCTATAACTGGCTTCTGCTCGCGACTTCGTACACGCAATCTCGATTCTTCCCGTTCCTGAATTTCGGTAATGAGTAAAAAAGTATTGAATTAAAAGTATGCTATGTCCGTCTCCTGGATCTAAGCTAATTGGTAGGGACCAATATCGACTGCACGGTTGGCGCGGTGGTTGGGCAACGGACTGCCGCGCAACGTGTCGCGGGTTCAATTCCAGCACGGAACAACTCTTTGTGTAATCCACAGACTGTTGTTCCGGATCTGGGTGTCATGTGTATGTGAAATTGTATGTTTGTAAACGCACCCACGACACAGGAGAAAATCATAGTGAGGGGCTATGTTTTAAATAAAAAATGAATCCAAATCGATTTAGCCGTTCTTGTGTTATAAATAGTGTAACTAACGCGACTTTTATATACATATATAGATTATAATTATAATAATTAGTGTTAGCAGGTCTCACACCTAGGTCAAATATAACATTTGAAAATAGACCTTATTTCAACAACATTAATATAAACTTTAGTAACAATAAACTAAAATAAACTTTCTACCTTAATTCCAATTTTCTATGCATTAAGATACATTTTTGCCCTAGTGACCAGATTGGCGATATATTAAAGAAGGGCCAAATTAAAAGTACCCTTAACCGACGAGCATGCATGAAAACATTGATGACTGTTGATGAAGCGAAAGAGGTATGTATGAATCGTAGTAATTGGGTTCCCTAGTCTCTGCCTACCCCCACGGGAGACAGGCGTGAAGTTATGTATCTATGTATGTATGTAAGATACATTTTTGCTCATCACAAAGCTATCTCTACTCACCTCCATTCATAGAATCGATGAGTACGTTGAACGGCTTCCGTTGTTCCGTGCCCTGTATCAGTGCCTTGATCTTATTGAAGTCGAAGATTTCCTTCATGTACGCCACGTAATCATTAACTGGGTCAATAACTTCTACCGTGAACTTTTGTCCACCAATCTGAAAATAACATAACATTAATATTATACACTAGCTTTTACCCGCGGCTTCGCTCACGTCACAAAAGGATAAAAAGTAGCCCGTGATATATACCAATACATACAGCGCCATCTATACCAATACTTTTGTTTTCCCTTGTGAATATCAATTTTTCCGGGATAAAAATACCCTATTATTTAATCCGGACTTCGAACTTTACGTCTGCAAAAATTCAAAGCAATCGGTTTAGTAGTTTCTGCGTGAAAGTGGCACAAACAAACAAACAAACAAACTCACTTTCCGATTTATAATATTAGTAAGAATTTATTTTTCTTATTATGTAGTTTTTTTAGGGATAATCCGGTAAAGGAGCAGACAGATTACCTGATGGTAAGCAATCGGCGTCGCCCATGGACACCCGGAACACCAAGAGACGTTATAAGTACGTTACCGGCCTTTTGGGGATTAGGAATTATAAGGATTATGACCACTGGAGATAGACCTATAGTTGAGTACCTCGATCAATGCTGCCGGCAACTATTGTATGTATTTTTTACATACATATATACATTTCATCACTCCTTTTATCCGCGAAGGCCCGAAGGGGTAGGCAGAGGTGCACGTTACGGCACTTAATGCCACTGTTAAATGTAATACCCACTTTCCACTATTTATGTTATGAGTCCCATGTTATAGGGGGTGAGCCTATTGCCCTATACCGGACACCAGACTTCCGAATTCTAGACTCTGTGCTACTACTGAGTATTTTTAAAAACCCAGTAATACTTTGCCCGACCCGGGGATCGAACCCGAGACCCCTTGCCCGGCAGTCGCACTTGCGACTACTCGGCCAATGAGGCAGTATTTTTTACTATAATTTAAAATACTCACATCATAATTAGAAACACCGATCTTGGAGATATCGCAGGCAATGTCTGGAACTATCTTGTATTGTTTAATGGCAGTGGTGAGTGCATAGATCTGATTGGTGGTCGCGTCGGGCGCTGGGCCGCCATTGGCGCAGTTGAATTTGATTCCAAAGTCATTGTCTATGCCACCCGGGTTGTGAGACGCTGTGAGGACGATACCACCTGCGAAAGGATATGGTAAATTAGAAAAAAACATTTTTAAAGGCAGACAATAACATTACATCACGCCTTTTATCCTCGAAGGGGTAGGCAGAGGTGCACATTATGCCACTGTACAATGTAACACCCACTTTTCACTATTTATGTTATGAGACCCATGCAACAGGGGGTGAGCCTATTGCCATATACCGGGCACAATTCCAGACTCCGTGCTACTACTGAGTTTTTTTTTTTAAACTCAGTAATACTTTGCCCGACCCGTGAAGCGAACCCGAGACCCCTTGCAATTTTACTTTTTTGTTTTAAGGTTGAAAATCGAATAAAGAAAGGGAGTACCTTGATTTGCTAGCATAAAATATGTAAAATATACCATTATAGAGGGGCGACCATTTTACAGTTTTTACGTAATATCTAATTCCTACTAAAATTATTGGAACAGTGGATTTATATATAATTCATTTTTAGTACTTATTTACATGATATAGTAAAAAATAAATATATATCTCCAACTTAAAATACACTAAAACTAATGGAGAAAAATAAATAGCTAGTAGGTACTATTATATAAAGCGGAAGAGTTTGTTTTTTTGTTTGTTTGTTTGAACGCGCTAATCTCCGTAACTACAAGTCTGATTTGAATAATTCGTTTTATGTTGGATAGCGCATTTATCGAGGATGGCTATAGGCTATAAACCATCATGCTACGACCAATAGGATCTGAGCAGAGCGTGTGAAACCGCGCAGAAGTAGCTAGTCAAATAATACTTCAAAGACAGTGTATTCGGAGTAATTATAAGCATTAATTTACGTTATCTTTCTCTCACTAAGCGCTATGCAGAATGTAGTTGCGCGTATCAATAAAGATATTATTTATACCAGTCAAGGCTAAGGGTTCAATATAAGTCGGTAAACAACGGTGTGTTATCTAACCACTGTTTATGTCTAGTAAATAAACTGATATTTTGCTATTCTATCGCTTTATTATTTAGGTTTTTTCTAAGATTTTAAGATCTCTAGTGGTATAAATGGACACTTATTCGCAAGTTGTGGTAATACTTACTCCATGTAATGTAATCGGGATTGAATATAGAGACGGGGTAGGGGTGGTTATCGACTTTAGACCGCGTAGCGTTACTTGTTTTAACCTGTGAATCCTACACCTACCCACCTTGTTTTTGAGGGTAAACCATCCAATGACAAATCCACCCGGGTGAGGCGAGAAGGAGTGTCAGACTCTTACTGACTAAAAACCACCCCGTTCCTACTCCTGCACGTTGAGCCAGAGCCCCGGCAACCCGTTAAGTCCTCCGCGACTCCCTAACACCTACACCTCTAAGAAATCCAGAGTTACTTGCTAATATAGGATATAAATATTTATCAGGACTAAATGTGTAAATTAAAACAAAACCTAATACCCAAGGACGTTGAAAAACGGCGGACACAGCCTTTTGGAACAACGACTGAGGCACCTGGTAACTATAGACTTACGCGCAGAACATACACACATTGATACGAAGGACATCTGACATTTTCTGAAGTCTGGTAACGTGGTAACCCATTACAAGCGCACTGTTAGATCTTGATATGGTAAGTTCTCTTCTTAAAGAAAACACTGCAGTTCGTAGAACAAAATTACTTTTATTTCTACTTCACAAATTGATAGGTAATATAATTTCGATTATAATGTCGTGGTGGCCCGGAGGTTTAAGACGCCCACTTCTCATGCATGAGGGTGCGGTTTCGAAACCTACCAACAGCAAGTACCAATGTAACTTTTTCCGAGTTATATGTACTTTCTAAGATTATTTAGACACCACTGACAAACGGTGAAGGAAAAACATCGTGAGGAAACCTGGACTTATAATTTCTAATTATAAGTTTGAAATCGCCAACCCGCATTGAGCCAGCGTGGTGATTAATGCTCTAACCTTCTCCGTGTGAGAAGAGGCTTTGCTCAGCAGTGGGCATTTATAGGCTGTTAATGATGATGATAATTGCGAGTGTGACCCACGAGTGCACGGGATTGTGAATGGAATGCGACTGACTGTTTTTGAATAGGACGGGGTTGTATGCATTTGAGGCGAGGAGTGAAGTGTCAGCACTCTGACAGGGATAAGGGTGTTATATTCCTTGGGTATAAACAGCACGCATAAAAACCAATTACATTTTGGTGGTTTAATATATAAGTGAGTGACGTTACATATGTCCGCCTTTATTAACGTACATACATGTATCTCATTTCCGAACCGTACCTAAATAATAGTTATTACCGAGGTAAGACAGCTAAGAACTGCCTAAAAATCAATTTAATCCAAAAAAAAAACTCAAAGTCATCATGATTAAAATCTCCCACCTAACGCAATTACATGCAATTGTGAAATCACACAGTAACACCTACCTGTTGATGTAAACATTGTTATCATATTATCAGTACAATCTCGATCTAAATGACCGCGTCATTAGCACTCGATAGGCCCCATCATCAAGATATCAGCAAAATTATTGACGTATCATCGACAGTGATATTGGAAATCTAGACACGTTTAGGCTATTTATACACTACACTACCTACACTTGTCGCGAAGGTCGATAAGCTATACCTACAACACAACCACACCTCCGTTTTTATTTTGAGGACAGCTATTCATACTGCCTTGTTGGCTGAGTGGTCGCAAGTGCGACTGCCAGGCAAGGAGTCTCGGGTTCGATTCCCGGGTCGGACAAAGTATTACTGGGTTTGTAAAAAATAAATTCTCAGTAGTAGCACGGAGTCTGGAATTCTCACCCCCTATTAAATGGACTCATAACATAAATAGTGAAGAGTGGGTGTTACATTGTGCACTAGCATTAAGACCAACCCGCATTGAGAAAGCGTGGTGATTAATGCTCAAACCTTCTCCGTGTGAGAAGAGGCTTTGCTCACCAGTGGGCATTTATAGGCTGTTGATGCTGATTAAGCGTCTGCCTACCCCTTCGGGGATAAAAGGCGTGATGTTATGTTACGCTGTTCGTACTGTATTGCAATATTTCATAAACTGACGAGACCCCAAGCGGTCACCGGTGACCGCTTTACACTTCATTATAGATAGACCTTATATCCGATATTTAGAGACTACTTTTGTATCAACAAATCTTGTTGATTTTTCGTACAATATATCAAATGAATAAATGTCAACAGCATATGATAATCTACTGTAGTACTTTGGGCCTCGTCAACATAAGAGAGGTGGCACTATTCGCCACACTTGTCAGGCGTATTGGAGATTCGGAGGGCGGATTGATAAGGGTCCGATTTACGAAAGAGCACTGTTCGGTGTCTTTTAAATATGTAGTCCCTTAGTTGGGTGGTCTAATTTGCTCTCAAATCACATTAATAATCGAAGTTCTACGAAGGGTTTAGAAGCTAGCTAATTATTGCCAAAATCCCTGAAAAAATTGTGTCGGCCCATGCACCAAACACCCTGTCCTTACCAAGAGCCTTGTATTTCCTGATGATGCAGGAGACAGCAGGTGTGGAGAGGATACCATCCTGACCGACCAGCAGCCTTCCGACCTAGAAAAACAACCAAATCAATAAAAAGTACATAAATATCACTCCTACCAATATCTGCGTCGGTAAAGGTTTAGGTTATTGTATACTAGCTTCTGCCCGCGACTTCGTACGCGTACCATCCCATTTTTTCCCGTCCTCGTTCGTGAATTTCGGAAAAAAAGTAAAAAAAAAATTGGTTAAAAAGTCCTAATAATCCTAGTCCTAATCCTATGCCGGTCTCCTGGCTCTAAGCTACCTCCCTACCAATTTTCAGCGAAATCTATTCTGCCGTTCTGGAGTTATAAGTGGTGTAACTAACACGACTTTCTTTTATATATATAGATTTACAGATTTTATTACTGGCCTCATAAATTTATGGGGCGTAATTTGTATAAACTAAATGGCGGGCATTGTTCTAGATACAGGCCTCTAGATTTTAAAACACCAAATACGCTTTGCCCTCCCTTAGAACCAATCAAAACAGCTCGATACTAGTCAATCGTTATCACTCGATAAACGAGTCAGTTACGAAATACGCAATATTTAACATGTGAATAGAAGGAATCACGAAACATCATCATTACTAAGGCTTCCATACAAAATTAAATACACTCATGCAATCATACATCGAATAACATGTCTACAGCAATTACATCCTAAGACGTTTAAAGATAGAGTTGTATTTCAATTGTCTAGTGATTCACTTATGACGTTGTAACAGCTAAATCTTGATATAACTGCCTAGTCATGGTCCTTGGGAACATAATTAGTTACAAAAATATTGCTACTGTCATCAATATTAGAGATAACATCGAAATATTATAATACATAATGAATAATACTAATAATCATGCCTTTTTTCCTTGGAGAAATAGGTATAGGCGTAAAGAACGAATTTTATTACCACCAAGACCTATTGTCCATCGCCATAGGGCGAAATTCTGATTTGAGCACATTATCTAAACTCCCTAAAAAAATTTAAAAAAGTAAGTTCAATAGCCCCTAAAAAAAAAAAAAAATCACAGTACCTTACCAAATCTTAATTATCTTATACCAAGGCCTACCTGACTATTACTAGGTCTGACTATTAGAAGATTTTTCTGAGCAAAAGACCTTCTAGTCCGCCTGATAGGAAGCCGTATTACTACCCTATAGAAGTCTATAACACCAAAAGTATTGATCACGCATTGCTGTCCTTGAAAAAACCTTTTCACTTTTTGTTTTTAACTGGGGCTGGTGGCGCCGGGGCGAAGCTACGTATACCGTACACCAGTTATGTTATGAGTACCTACCATGTAATAGGAAGCTGTCTGTAGCCATTTCTCGAATCTGTGCCTACACCAATTTACTAAAGTACAGCATAACTACTTTGCTAAACTGTACCAGCAAATGCATGATCCCATGCAACAACTAGCAGAAATTCATAACACTCCACTAGTGACTGGTCTGAAAGGTTTATTGACATGTACATTGATGTTTATTAAAATCTTATAATCTTAGACTATTATATAAAGCAGAAGAGTTTGTTTTTTTCTTTGTTTGTTTGAACGCGCTAATCTCCGTAACTACAAGTCTGATTTGAATAATATTTTTGTGTTGGATAGCGCATTTTTCGAGGATGGCTATAGGCTATAAAACATCGCGCTACGACCAATAGGAGCTGAGCAGAGCGTGTGAAACTGCGTGGAAGTAGCTAGTTTAAACTGTCAAACACCGAGCGGTCACCGGTGACCGCAACCTATTGTTCTTTAATTGTGTCTATAATGACGGTACTCAACGAGTTAAAACTATAAAATTTAACACTAACAAAGAAAATAAAAGTTAGTTTAGTTGATTAACTTTTAAATAAAGAGATTCCCAGTTGTAATAACTTATTTAATTTCTATTACAAACTACAATGTGTTATTATCTGATAACAGTGAAATATGATTTTATGTTATTGAATCTTAAACAATAGCTCATATGATACAGATTTCATATTTCAGCTAAGAATGAAACATAGTGCTTGAAAGACATTTCATTATTTAATAAAATTGTTAATCTATTCACATAATGAAAAAATATTATACACATATCTGTTGATTTTGTCGTATATACAATACTGAGAGAAAACAAATCAAAGTACAGGATTCCGAGCTAACTACATCATTTCTATGTACAAAAATGTACCTTGAATTCAGGCGATGAGCTTTTCTCAGTTATGTACGTGACTAGTTTTTTATTTTTCATTAACACCTTGACTGCCGGTATTATAAGACACAACAGAAAATACATGTGTCTTGCGTAGATCTACATTCGGGTTAATCTCCACTGACACGTTCAAAAATGTATTATTAGTACGCTACTTCAACATATTAAATATCTGGTTATTACACAATTATATCATAACATTGTGTATCATACAATCTATATAGTAATCTAATGAATGTTTGATGTAATATTTTCACACTTTATTATCTTAACCCGTTGAAATCCATCCCCTAAATTTGGTCATACAAAAGTAGTCTCTAAACATTGGTAATAAGGTCTATAATGTAATGTAATATTAGGGGAGAGAGGTCACCGGTGACCGCTTGGGGTTTTATAGCTAAGTACATTTAGTTGAGATGGGCATATATTTTTTGTATTGTAGAATAGTCTAGACTAGAGACAAATTGAAATTACTAATGATGTTTTTTTTATTCTCTAACTGCCAGTAGTTTTATAAGAATATTATTAGCTTGCTAGCTTATAACAGTTGCTATAAGTAGTTCTAGGTGTAGTTATATTTTCATATTATTTATAAACATTGAAATAAATTCTGGTTTAAAATAATTTATTGATGTTCTAAATAATTTTTAAGAGAGCAATCTATTGACCTGTATTTCCCCTAGTGGTCACCGGTGACTGCTCTGCACTAACTACATTATAGACCTTATTTCAAATGTTTAGAGACTACTTTTGTATGAACAAATTTAGGGGATGATTTTCAACAATTTTTAACAGGGTTAAAAACTTAGCAATCAATCTATTGAATATGTAAAGAAAGAAGAAGAAGATCATAGAAGCATTGTGCTTCACCCACATAGCATAGCTGCATTTTATTCCAGAATGTATTGAAAAGAAAGCAAAAACATTATATTCTAGAATAACAATAATTCCAGAATACATGTAATTTTGTGAATAATTTTATCTAGAACTCAGTTTTTCTGGCATGATCTTGATGCTGAACATACTCAAAACATTATCTGTGTAGAATATGTTACTGGCAGCCGTGTATTAATGACAGTATATTATAATATTTAAACATATTATTATCATAGTTCTGTATAGTTAAGTAATAAAGTTAAATTGAGTATTTAGTTATGGTACTAAAAATACTTTTAAAATAGTGGTATAATAATGGTTACATTAAAAAGTATTTTATTAAAGCTAATGTCAGATACAGAATTAGATATTTTGTTATTAAAAAGATATTAGAAAATGTATATAAAAAGAGGATACTAGTGACTACAGTAAACAGACAGTGTATTTTTATAAGACATTTTATAATCTGTTAAAAGTTTTATTAATAATTTTTTTAGTTTCTAAATAAGTGTTTATGAAAATTATTAAGTAAGTTGTTTACTTATTTCAATACTTACTCCATTAGCAGCTGAGATTTTGATGATTTTGTCCACAACCTCCTTAACGAGGTATCGGCCGTCTCCTCCGACTACCAGCGTAGATCCAGCCAAAGAGTCTTTATTCGCATCCAGAATACTCTGCACGAAGTTTTCCGTGTAATGTTCTTGAAGGAAAACTTTAACTTTTTTACGCAAACCACTCGTGCCCGGCTTCTGTCCCTCAAACGGGTTTGTGTCCACATTTACTACACTAGGCATTTTTTATGAATTAAATTACGTTCTGTGCGAATACACGAGCAACCTCGGCGCTCCGTCCTAATTAAATAACATTTATTATCGGAGTTTTTAAGGTCAGAAGATCGCTCAAAGTTATTACAAAACTATTGTCATAAGTGTCAAACCAATGTCAAAGCAAGGTCATCGTAATGCTACGTTCAGTAATTAACAAATTCTGTATATTTCTGCTCCTGTCAATGCTTGAATCTATTTTAATGCTATAAATAAGCAGGCTATGGCCAGAAGTCAATATTTTTCATGCATTTTTAAAATACTTCGAACTGTTTACTTTTGAGCGCTTTGTTTCTAGGATTCTGTTCAACAAATTAAAAATTAACGAGTTTTAGAACGAACACGTTATTGGTTGCGTTTTCTTTCTATTTTTCAATGATTTTTTCCATCGAGGCGTTTTCATTTCAAATACCTACCTACCTATTTTTAATTTTTAACGCTTTCTCTTAGTTAATTGTTAATTAGAAATTCCATATCGAGGTGTATCACAAATTTTTCCGCTCGATCGAACACCACAAGTTCGCTAATTATAATAGGTAATTTTTTTATTGCGTAGATACAACGTTATTCAACATGTTGATGTTAAAACGTAGAAAGATGTCTACTTTCTAGTGCGGCTTAAAACATATGTTTATATGTCTTATTATATTATTTAAATTGTGGACAAAAATACTTCATAGTCCCCGACGATTAGTCCCGTATTATTTATAGGGTCATAATGGCATGGGCATTCCCTATCCCTACTATACCTACCACAGTACCACTTGAATCTAATCGTACGGTAATCAAACAAATTGTAATAAAAAAAATTATGATTTATTTAATTACATTTAAATAAGTACAAAAAATTATAACCAACACACATACAAGCATACGATACGATTAACATACAACGCTACAGTACAATCTATGATTTATATTTGCAGGCTTTGATGGAACCTCCGAACTCCTTGCTGAGGTACTTGGCGGCGGCCAGGCAGAGGGCATCGTTGTATGGAGCCGCCACCACTTGGATACCCAGGGGAAGACCTTGGGCGTTCACACCGAGAGGTACCTGGGGGAAAATGCAATATTACATTAAGTAAGACTGCCTCGTTGGCAGAGTGGTTGCAAGTGCGACTGCCGGGCAAGGAGTCTCGGGTTCGATTCCCGAGTCGGGCAAAGTATTACTGGGTTTTTCCAAAATTCTCAGTAGTAGCACGGAGTCTGGAATTGTGCCCGGTATATGGCAATAGGCTCACCCCCTATTAGAGGTACATGGGACTAATAACATAAATAGTGAAAAGTGGGTGTTAAATTGTACAGTGGTATAATGTGCACCTCTGCTTACCCCTTCGGGGGTAAAAGGCGTTATGTTATGTTACATTAAGTACATCGATTTTTGATAGAATAATGTAGGTAGGTATTCATAAAGTTCCAACTTCGTACAGACCTGTGTAGCAGGACATTTGAGAGCGTTTACGATGGCCCAGTACGCGAAGTTATAGGGACGCAGGAAGCAAGAGTAGTGGTAGGGGGCTGGCTGCGGGGCGCTCGGCATTAAGAGGACGCCGTTGTCGCCTAACTTGCTCTGGAACAGGACAAAAAGATGGTTAGAACAGAATTAGCAAATTTGTTGAAGCATGTTCCTATAATGGAAAACAAACTATAGTCTACTATATATATATAGGGCTACTTTTTTCCTCCCGCCTGGGTGAGGCGGGAGGGAGTGTCAGACTCTTACTGACTAAAAACCACCCCGTTCCTTCTCCTGCACGTCGAGCCGGAGCCCCGGTTACCCGTTAGGTTCTCCGCGACTCCGAATCGGCATCTGTGGTAGTCTGATGGCTCTTTGAGGCGCGCGCGGATCGCGACGTGCCGTAAGCTCGGGAATATAGTGCTACTTTATTTTTTACGGCGGAAAATCATCGAATGACTGCTCCCGCCTGGGTGAGGGACGGAGTGTCAGACTCTTACTGACTAAAAATTAATATAGAGCTACTAGGCTACCGACAAACCATGATTCGCGAGGGTGTAATTTTATGAAATTTCCCTGTTCTTGTCTATTCACATCGCGCATGTGGGGCCGATTTGAATCAGCAATATGTTGTAATAACTGTCAACAATTTAATGTGCTCCATAAATTCCAGATACTTCATCAACTTACGAATAAATCTTCTTTCAACTCTTTGGAGATCTTCTCTGCCCATTCAGGTTCCACCTTCGGCAAGTACTGCTCCTCAATCAGACGCACGATAGTGAACAGGCAGTACTGACTCATACACACCGCCTGTAGAAGATTATACACATACATGATACACATTTTCAATTATGGCGCTAAACGCATTAGGAATTTCCAATGGTGCCACTTCTTCAAAACATTGAGCGTACGAAAATGAAACAAAAATTGTGCACCACTCCGAGATGAATTTATATAGGAACAGAAATTGATACTGTCTCTCACGGTCGAATTAATTGCTAACGTCTTAAAAGGAGCGCATGATATCGGCAGATTTATAATTTCGATGGCTGCTATATGAGCATTCCGTTAAAAAATCCATCAACACCACAAAAGTCGAAAACCTTACCTTTTTCAACAATTCAATAAGTCCGTTAGCCTCTCCCTTGTTATTGGTGCAGAGGGTGGGCAGATGTTCAGGTTCCTTGGTCATCCAATACTTCCAGATGCTGTACATGTGGTTGAAGCCTCTGTGGTAGTAAGGTTCTGGTGCATTCTCCGTTGTGGTCGAATCTTGGCTGATTCGAGTTAGTACACTGGTGAAGAAACATAATATTAAAGTAAATAAATGTAAAAATGAATGAATGAAAATAAATGTAAATAAAAGTAAAAAAATAAACAAATTCTGACCTATCACAAAACAGGATTAAACTGATAAAATTCTTATTATGTCTTTTTTATGGCATAAACCGGTAAACGAACAGACGGATCACCTGATGGTAAGCAACCGGCGTCGCCCATTGACACCTGGAACACCAGAAGCGTTACAAGTGCGTTACCGGCTTTTTGGGGATTAGGAGTTTAAGAATCGTTGAGGATTCAGGAATTGGGGAAATTGGGGAAGGGGAGGGTAATCGGGCCTCCGGTAACCTCACTCACTCGACGACACACAACGCAAGCGTGGCTTCACGTCTGTTTTCTGTGAGGCCGTGGTATCACTCCGGTCAAGCCGGCCCATTCGAAAAACTGTCTACTCGATAATGGACAATTTGGTAGATGATGAGGTAATATTTCTTACCTCTTCATAGCTCCTTTGAGATCTGCTCTAACGCTGCTCAAAAACATGTCTTGGCTTCTCTCCAGGTAGTAGAATTTGATGTCCTGTAACATGACATATTTCATAGGTAATTCAATAAAGCCAATCTTAAACTTATGGGTAGTAATAAAAGCTCCGACAAAAAAAGAAGAATTGTCCTTACTGAAAATATTAAATCTACTGCCTAAAATACTAACTTTCCGACTACTTTACATGACTGTTTATTGCTACAATAGGTACTAACCTTTTTTTCGCCCGGGGAAAATGCCGTGCATACCCGAGTTATGTGGGGCAGCTACAATACTAACCTAACCTAAAACGTCTGTTGTCGGTAACTTAGTAATTTTGTCGGAGGTTCAATATTCCATTTTTATAGTCGGCCACAGATCGCTGGAGATTAATTTGTTTTTCGGAACCATTATTATATTCCTAATCTTATTATGTGTCTCAATTTTTTATGTAGGTAATCCTATTCAAATACTTAATAGAAAAATGGAAGGTACCTTAAAGTCGACATCTCTGTCTAGTTTCAACTGTGGAGCCTTGTCTCCAGCAATGATCTTGGTGAGTGGACCCAGATCATCAACGTGCTTTGATATGAAGCCCAGTGATAACATGGTCTCCTGGTCCTCGCCCGTCCTGAATACTATACCTGCGGATAAAAGTTCAATGTTATTTTTAGTGGAAGCATCTAAGAAGATAATCAGCTATTTGCAAAAATTGATCATATCAGAGACCCTTGAAAAACGATCGTATGTGTTTACTGAAATTACCTCTGAGATTCGTGGTTCCAGGAGTGGGGTGGTATCCAAACATCCCACAGTAGAAGGCTGGCATACGAGTAGACCCACCGAGATCGGAGCCTGAGATACAAAAATAATGAAATGAAAAGAGTTTTATTCGACATACGGCATGAATGCAAGGAACAAAAAATAACAATTCAATACAATTTGATAAAATAACAATATAAAAGTTTAACACAAGAGGGTGAGAATAAAAAGATAAAAAGCTAAATCATAAGATAATAAAAATAGGTATAACATAGGTACTGCGCGATATTCGCAGACATGTCCAAGCCGAATGGGTCGCCAACTCAGTTAAGAGCTGGGCACAGTGAGCACCCAACACTGATTTTCAGTTGGCACCCCTGTAGTGACGCACGGACGAAAGCAAATTAGAGGACTAAGTATATGATAATCTGCGGTGCAAATATAAGATAATATTTGCACCGCACAATTTTTTTACACATGATTGCCGGCAACCGCAATGGTTGCCATCGTCAAGCTGCCTGCCGAAATTACGGACCTTAGGCTTAGAGGTTCTACTGTAGGTACTGTACACACTACTAACTGACTGAATGACTGATGATGAATCTTGGTGATACAGAAGTAGAACTTACACAAACTGACGACAGTAGCACAGGAAGCAGTGAGTGCAGCCTCTGCTCCACTGGAACCACCTGGAGTCCTGCCAGTGTGGTGAGGGTTGTTGGTCATGCCGTATACAGGGTTGCGGGTCTCTTGCCTGTCAAGAAAATAAAATATGGCAACTGTTTTTACCACAATATTTTTCAATCCAGTACTCTGTCTCCCAGACATCGAATAAAAAGATCCCCTTTCGCGTCTGTCTGTCTGTCTGACTCTGTACGAATTGGATAAACCAAAAACTACTAAAAGGATTTTTGGTCGATTTGTACCAATAGACCGTGTGATTTCTGAGTAAGGTTTAAATGAATAATTCACCGTAGTTTTGGCAATACTAAATAATTACAGACTGTTTTTCAAGTAAGTTTTTCAAAGCATAACATACCAAACGAGCAGTTCAGGTAGGTTAGTAGAAGCCACAACGATGGCTCCAGCATCTTTCATCCTCTTCACCGCCTCGCTGTCTTCCGGAGCCACTTCATTGCGACGGCATATCAATCCTAGTGTGAAGGGCATGCCCTTGACTGCCTGACTCTCCTTGGTTGTGAATGGAACACCTATGGGGAAGAAAGAGGAAGTTTAGTTAGTCAAGTCCATTGTGGTTCACACTGTGAATCACTGTGGTTCGAAACTAGTAGAGCTTTTATGCTTTTAATACATATATATGAATATATAAATATTATAAACAATATATGAATATCAATACTATTAAGCTGATACCCACTCGCAACACTACCAAAATCAGTTTTTATGCAATCTTGTCAAATTCTTACAAAACTTGAACAATAACCAGTAGCCAGGCATCTAAAATCTGCTAAACTTTACAATCGTACACCCGAAGCCTTGACCTCACGTTCATCACTAGTTATAGGTACCTACGTACCTACTATGATTACAATAGAATAGATATGGTTTTTATAATTGACTTGTGGCTAGAACTATTTACTAGATAACCAAAGAATAAATACAAAGAAAAAAAACACTATTGTATCACTACGAGCTGGTCTCTACTAACAAAAAAAAAAAACAAATAAATTTTAAGCAAAACTGAAGCATTCTGAAGTCTTTAAATTCTTCACCTAAGAACGGTTTCTTGTTGAACTCTTCGTCTGACAATCCCTGTTCAATGAGGGCATCAACCTCCTTGGCCTCGGTCAGGGCTGCCTCGTACCGGTCCACGGCGATGGCGTTTATCACAGGATTCACCTAGAAATTGTTAAAGGCGATTTTAAGAATAATGTTCACTTAATTTGCTTTTACGATACCGACGCGAAAAGCACTCCAACTTTTAGGGGTGTCTAACTGTCTACTGTTCATGATTTATGATAGGCAAATTTTAGCTTAGCCTTAGTTCTATATGACCCCAGTATCGTTGCATTTTTTTTATTTATAATGGGCCGTTGTTTGGCCACTATATCGCCTGGTTGTAAGTGAGTGATGATGCGGCCTGCAATGGAGCATGCCTGCCCATATTTAAAATTTTTCTTCAAGTGACAGCATGTGGAACGGCGAAGAATCTCGTCTCCCAAAGCGGGCAAATTATCTTCTGTGGCTTTTAACATTTGTAATTTATTAGTCCAAGTTTAGGTATGTGTACAAACCTCTTTAATCCTCTCAATAACAGCCCGAACTAAGTCCTCAGACTTGAGTTCCTTCTGTCTGATCTTCTTGGCCAATGTCACGGCGCTCTCGGTCAGTATGCCATGCTTCTTCAGGTCCAGTGGCGGCACTGTCTCGTTGTTGCAGTTGAAGAATAGAGAGAATATGCCGTCCACCACCAGGTCGAAGGCAAGACGTATGTAGAGGAAGATCACTTTGCATAGCTTCGACATCTTGGTGTGTGATTTATTCTGTGAATGGAAGAATCGTAAATTAATTAGAGTATACATAGGTACTGTGTTCAATTGAGCATTTGTAGTAGTATGTGTGTCGGAACGTTACTCAAATCACAGAATATTAAAAACACTTCACGCACAAACTTCTTTATTATATCTATGCTCGAAATAAATTAGCATGCTCATTTCGGGCATGCTTGCGAATCGACAAGCATTCGATTTTTGAAAATTTTTGAGCATGCTCAATAGAACGTCTTTTTTTTATTTTTTTAAGGGGGGAAAATCATCGAATTACTTCTCCCGCCTGGTTGAGGCGGAGGGGAGTGTCAGACTCTTACTGACTAAAAACCACCCCGTTTCTACTCCTGCAATTCGAGCCGGAACCCTGGTAACCCGTTAGGTTCTCCGCGACTCTGAATCGGCATCAGCCCTATTGGGCCCCATCCGTGGTGGTCTGATGGCTCTTTGAGGCGCGCGCGGTACGCGACGCGCCGTACGCTCGGGAATATAACGACTTTTAGCATGCTATCTTAAAGCATATGTAAGTAATAGTGGGTACCTTTAAAAAGGTCGAATTAAGAGCGTCCTCCTTTTTTTGAAGTCGGTTGAAAAACCGCTTTTGCATCGCACCTTATTATACATTGACGACCTCATTACAAGGTCGGTAAGCACTACATACTTATTCTATGTACAGAATACAAGCCAACTACATAATACCTTAAGATTACTCAATCTTTGGACAATACGAGGTCTGTCTGCTCTTTGAACCCTATAAATTGAGTACCTACATGTATAAGTCACTACATTTTTACCTCGGTACAATATTAATGAGTCATTGCGATATTTATTGCGAATACAGAATATGTAGTTAGTTGTTGTGTTTGTACTGAAAGTAGCGATCGATATGTTTGTTATTTATAATAGTTGACCTCTTCGCTGTGCTCGGTGACCGGTCGAAGACATTGACTGAACATTTATATGCGACTGCTCAAAATAGGAGTGTAATTTGTCAAACCATGTGATGGCGCAAACTTATATAGGTACTATATGAATGGCGCTCTACCCTTTTTTTTTAATCTGTTTTTATCTTTGATATGCCAACCCCATCATACCTTTTAACAAAATGTAACCTATCAAATACATACAAAATTTTTGCTTACAATAAAAAGAAAGGAAATTGAGTTACATCAAGTACCTATTGTGACTAAATTACAAAATTTGTTTGTGGTTTCTGAACATGGTGAAGACAGAATTGACTGTATTAAGCCTACATCCAGTTTATTAAGTTTTAATTCTCTAATGAGTAACTCACGTTCCCGCTCATTCCGGACACAATCCATCAGCATGTTGCATATCGCTCTACTCTTCTAAAAACACCTCCGGTGATGGTGTAATTAACATTCAAAACCTTCCGAATATAGATACTGGAGAGGGTAATGAATGAAAGGCAGTTGGTTATAAAGATCTTATTATCTGAAGATCTTAGCATGTGTAATTCCACAGTCATCAAATTACTGTTAATGAACAACAGTAGGTACATTAAAAATGGACAACGCAAAAACGCCGTATCATCATATTTTACGAAGAAAGTCGCCGTCAGCTTTACACCATATACATAAAGTTGTTACATTCAAATGTGCCTCGATGCATGACAGTAGTTTACGCAACTCGCGGTTCGACGACCGACTTAGGTAATTGAGCTCATTTGGAAAGTTCTCAGATTGCATAAAGCTATTATTATGGAGTAAGCAAAAACTACAAGAATGATTACTATGATTGATAAAAAATGTGGGGAAAATAAAAGATACCTAAGTGCGTAGATAAGAAAGTAAGTTTTCTTTTGTTATCTTACGCAAAGTCGTAAATAGTAGAGATCGCTGTTAAAATAAGTTAATTGTTGAAGTTTTTCTATCTTGGAAAGTAACGTGGAGAGAGCCGACTGTATATTATATATAGATAGGCGTCTACTTACACAGATAACATCAAAATAATATTACATCTTGTGAAAATATCTCGTAACGATGCACTTTATGATGCAGTTAATATTACTCATAAGTAATAAGACCCATTTTTACTGTCCTATACATACGAATACGATGCAAAGGATTCTAAAGAAAAAGGACGAAGTGATTCTTTTTTTTTTTTTAAATCGTTTGAAATCCCCACATTGGGATTTTCTCCTGTGTTGTGGGTGCGTTTACAAACATACAAGTTCACATACACATGACAGTGACACCCAGACCCGGAACAACAATCTGTGGATCACACAAAGAATTGTTCCGTTTTATAATAATTTATTTTAATAACACTGACAGACAAACCGCAGTCGCCATCTTGAGTAGACAATAAACGTTCCGTTTCATACTAACTCTAAAATACGCCTCGCCAATCAACACGTTATCGCGTCAAAAAATATGAATAATATCTTAAATCATAAATGATTACACCCGATAATACGTGCACTTCCTGGTCTCCTTAGTAATCTAAATCTAGTCTAAATAATGATACCTAGGTTATTAAGAATTACCGTTCATGTAAAAGGCAGGCAATCTAAAATCGGAGCTCATTAAAAACTCATCATTACCATACTATGCCATCCTCATTAGATATGTAGGAGAAAAACATGAGTAAGTAATGCAAATATGAACTGATCTTTTTATACTAACTCTTTAGATATTGCCGGATAAGTATTTTTTCCCATTTTTACACGATTCACGTCTAATTATTAACACGAAAGCGCACACCGGTGATTTTAATTTCACCTTATTTAAATTATGACTCATAATTAAGCGATTATTGCTTCTCGTTGGCCGAGTGGTCGCAAGTGCGACTGCCGTGATCTCGGGTTCGATTCCCGGGTCGGACAAAGTATTACTGGGTTTTTAAAATTATTCTCAGTGGTAGCACGGAGTCTGGAATTGTGCCCGGTATATGGCTATAGGTTCACCCCCTATTACATAGGGCTCATAACGTAAAAATAGTGAAAAGTGGATGTTACATGGTACAGTCGCATTAAGTGCCGTAATGTGTACCTCTGCCTACCCCTTCGGGGATAATGGCGTGATGTTATGTTATTACTTTTAATAACGAGATTACAAGACAAAAAAAATATTGTCAACAGTAGAGTAAATAATAATCAGCGATTATATGGGTAACATTGTTTAACTGAATTGACCTTCATAATTGGGATGATGACGGGGTATGAAAATTAAAAATCTAATTAATCCATAAAGTTAGGTAATCAAAAAATATTAGACAGGTATTTTTTTGTTTTTGTCGTACTATAATGAAACAATACTTAGATAAAACGAATCAAAGTTTAGGAGTGGGGGCTAAAACGTCATTTCTACGTATAAAATGTACATAGAAGTGACGTCACGGGACATTTCAAATCAATATATCGTCGAAAGTATTCGTTTCTGTAAGGAAATAAAAATTACGTGTGTAATGATTTAAAATAAACTACCAGTAACGATATCGAAAATAATGACTGACTGCACGGTTGGCGCGGTGGCCAGGCACCTGGCTACCGTGCAACTCCTGTTCGATTCCCGCATGGAACAACTCTTTGTGTGATCCACAGATTCTTGTTTCGGGTATGGGTGTCATGTGTATGTAAATTTGTATGTTTGTAAATGTACCCACGACACAGGAGAAAATCCTAATGTGAGCAAAGATTTTTTTTTGTAAAGAAAATATTTATTTACATCCTACATAATAAAATAACTTATACAGGAATGTATAACATACATACCTGTCTCCTACATATCTGTAGTTAGGTACTTTGTACGTATGGTTAGTAAAGTAAACATAAAGTAGGCAGGTATGAGTTAAAATAGTATTTATGTTGTTGTAGTGTTGACTACTTTAACACAGTAACAATTGATTTGTAACAACAATTTCAAACAAATCAATTGTTTGAAACAATAAGGTATGTTGCGTTTAATCAGCGAATAGTTTTAAGTACTTTAGCGTTGTATGGTTATTGGCTATATGGAAATTTGGCAATAATAAATCAGACTTATTGGAAGCAACACGTCTTTGAATACACCACCCCTATGCAGATATTGCAACATAACCGTGACTTTGGTTTAGTCGTGATGATGACGGTGGTTGACTGGCTAGCGATTAAGGGTAGAGTGGTAGATGTCACCTGTAAAAGCACAAATAGACGATCGATCCGAACCGTCACCGTACCGTCAATTTAGTTTGGCGATCCGGTGATATCTATTGAAAATGTGCGACGGGCCGCTGTACACACTATGACACTATCGAATAATAAATTATGGTCCGAAAAAATGACCGTTCGATTCGATCGTCTATTCATGTTTTTTATTTATATAGGTAAGTAGGTACCACGGATTACTCTGCACCCCGAAAAACTAATTGCTAGTTACAAGCTGTAACTAGTTTTATGAGTTATGCTAGAATGCACCTTAATTACCTACTGTTGGTAATTATAATGTTCGATAACTCCAAAAATATGTAAGCAAGTATCAAAATTTTAAATTGAATATATGTATACCCGATATTTAAAAAAGCTTCAATGAAGACAATAGGGTAGATGACTAATTTTTATTTTAATATGGATTATTTAAAATTATTAGACACGTATTTTTTATTATTTACGGATACAGATACTGTCGACGATAATTGGTTTGAAATATCGCGTGACGTCCCTTTTGTGTACCTACGTTTTATACTCAAAAGGGACGTCTTAGCTCCCACTCCTAAACTTCGATTCGATTTATTTAAGTATTGTTTTCTTATACGACAAAATAAAAAAAATACGCGTCTAATATTTTTTCTTTACCTAAATGCTGGACTATTTACATTTTTAATTTTCATACCCTGCCATCATCCCTATTATCTACGTCTACGAGTCACAAATTAATATATGTATACGAAATTAGACGTTATTTTATGTTCACACTAACTACCATGTCAAACAGCTTATGACCTAACAGCAGTGTCAATATATAGTGCATCCTTTTTGC